TCCAAAGGCACGTGCATCCACATGCACAGCTCACACGGGGGTATCTGTATTAGTGCCCCCGACAAGGTGTTTAGTGTTGTGTGCCTTATAATCCCAGAATGTGGATGGCTGGAGCAGGAGGACTGGAAGTTTGGGGCTAGCTTGGGCTACATAGCAAAGCCCTGTCTCAAACACACAAAGAAACAGACCTTTAGGGTCAGCAGAGATGAAGGATTAAGTGAGAGAGAATAATTTCCCTTTCTTTATAAAATGGTTTGGAGGGCAAGGAAATTAGAGGGAGTTGAGCCCTACAGTCCAGAAGTGAGACGATTAAGACCTCAGTGACTGGTAGGCAGTCCATTTCCCACCTAGTCCATCATCACCATTGAGCTGATCCAACAGTGCTCCTTCCCCCTCCTCACCTCTGCAGAAGAATTGCTTCTTTCCTCAGGTTCCCTACATCACAGCCCCTCTAGGCACCTTCATAACATAAGATGCCATGCTGGGTCTTGCTGGGACATCTGAAATGATCCTTCACTTTACAACAAAGAAATGAAGATGAAAAAGGGTCAGCATTTTAATCAGAGTTCCTCTAGGTAGTGGCCCAAGAAACACCAGGAAAGCGAGTGTGTGAAAAGTGCGTCCTTGTGGCTTTACCCACTACAAGAAAAAAACGAGTGTGTTAAAGTGCGTCCTTGTGGCTTTACCCACTACAAGAAAAAAACGAGTGTGTTAAAGTGTGTCCTAGTGGCTTTACCCACTACAGGAAAGAGGAGTGTGTGAAAGTGTGTCCTAGTAGCTTTACCCACTACAGGAAAGACGAGTGTGTGAAATTGTGTCCTTGTGACTATACCCACTATAGGAAAGGCAGAGACTATTGGAACTGATGTACCCAAGTGCTGGGGTTTAATTAATGGCTGATTCAGGCTAGGATATACTGACGTATTCCATGCCCATTGTTTGAGAAGCTGGCTTCATCGTGTTCCGTATCTCAAGCTAATTAAATGTCATTTAAAAATGTGTTTCTTCCAGGTCAAGTGAAAAGTGCCAGATCGATAATCTAAGCTGTGGTCTGCAAAGAAATCAAGACTGTGCCTTCTACAGACCCCAGATGGTGTAGAAGGCTACGTTATCTTCCAGCATTCGATAAGTCAAACCAATTCCTGCCAGCTGAATTCAAGAAATAGACCCAGGGTTTTCAGAAATGTTCGGATACAAATTCAGTCAGCCTGGCTTTGTGTAAGGCTGTTCAGAATACTCACACCTGGCTCAGGGGCTGGGCCTCTGCTCCTCCAAACACATCTCCTCATGAGTCCTCCAATCATGAGTTCCCGAATTCCTTCAGAAGAGCCGAGCAAGGATTTCAAAACCACACGGAGAAGCTAATCATTTTCTGTGTAGCTAAGGCAAGACATTTCCACTAGACCAGGGAAATCCATTTTCAAAAGATGCACTAGGTCATTTTTAAAAGAAAGTATCTGTTCCTTCTCTCTCAAGCAGCAAATACTAACAGTTGTTTGGGGCAGGCTCCTTTGGTTTTAGCTCTTACTTTTTATGTCCAAATTAAACTTTACCTGGAAGGTGGGAGACAGTTTCTGGGAAAAGCCCACTGTTACCTTTAATATCTGTAATAAACACAAATCTGGCTAGCTTCCCCTCTCTAGGAGGTTTGGTAATATAGATATTGTAACTGACGCCATGCCACTTCCTACCATTCTCTGTTCTATTGCCCAGGTTTTAAAGGTCATGGTTACTCAAAAATTTGTTGGAAAGTCCTTTTTCTAGTCAAATTAAGCAGGACCCTGAACTTCTTATTCTTTTGTGACTTTCTTGGAAAGGTTTTATAGAAAATGAAATATAAAAAAAAGAAAGGAGAGAGAATATTCCCCGTTCTTATCACTTCCTCCTCTTTGTCTCACTATGCAAACTATTTTTTCACTTGAGAGGAGAAAGAAAACAAGGAAGCCATTCAGTAACACTCACCAGGCCATGTTCTCTTGGTCATGGCATTGAGGTAATCTTAGTTTAAATGTTTCTCCAAATCTCACATTTGAGATCTTTTCAATATATGAGCAATTTCCATTCAGCTTCCTTCAGCAGAAGCATTAGTGTTAGCCCATCTGCGAGACACCCTGAGTATTTGCTGCTGGGAGGAGAAGGGGATCTGTGTTTGGCCCTTTTAATACATATATTTCAGGATACTCAGTGCACATCAGCACTGGGATCATTGGGAAGAGGCCAGGTGCCCTTCTTTGTTGCTATTATTTTCATTCTAAGCCACAGTTTCTGAGCCTTGATCATGAATACAACAGAGCTTTTCAGGTCTGTGCTCCTGGTAAGTAGGAAGAGAGTTCTGAAACTCCCTTCTGTTTCAGAAGCATTTTGAACTATCTACTAGAATAATCTCTCTCTCCCTCTTTTGTCTCTCAATCTTTGTCTTCAGATATTTTATAGCCTTTGATACACTTGCTAACACTGTATTTGTATGATCTCTGGATTGGCACCTTTTACCAACACCCCAACTTTCTTAGAATCTGCTTTTCTAACTCCCCACTAACTTCTCTTCTTCTTGACCCTTGCTGTCAGAACCTCTCAGAATTCAATCCTGATTCTTGGTGGGACAATTGTTTTTCCATGACAGTCCCTGTCTCCAATATTATAGAGAATCTAACCCTTCCTTCCTTCTTTGGGGGGCACTTATGGTGCCAGAAGCCTCATTCTGTACTCAGTGTAATTATTCACATGCTTGTCTCGCCGTGTGAATAAACAATGATCCTTTTGAAAGAAAGACTGATTTTGCTCTTCCTCATATCTAAAGAGCATGCAAAATTAATACAATACAGTCAGTCAATAAAAGTTGAATTGACTCACTTAGTACTTCCTTACTCCCAGCACCTAACATTGCCTCGTACTACCTAGGACTCATAGAACTCATTACATCTCCATTCATTTATAGAGCTTGATTACATTATAAATACCAATTTTATCTTCTGCCTTGCTTTAGTCAATGCACTATTGCGTTACCTACTCCTCCAACAGAAAAGCCATACCCACATCAAACACTGCAGCTCTATGTCTGCCTTCTGTCAACTTCATATTTCTTAACCTGTCATCGCTAATGTCATAGACCTAGTGATTTCCAAGAGATTCTTGGATCTCATTTCGGAGATTCCTTTGAAGTGGGGCTCTAAACATTTATTTATATCTGTGGATCTATAACTCCTGTTTTGCAAGAGAAGATTATCAGTTATCACCTATTGTTGCACTGACTTATAGATAGATTAATAGAAGATTTAAATGCCCTTATGCTGTGAGTTTGATGTTATTTTATTAGCTGCATGGTGTCTTCTGAACTTGCATAGAGTAGTTACTTTTTTAAAAGCACATGCCAACAATTCAGGAATGCCTCCATAGTATTTGAAAGGTAGTCAAAGGCTAATTCAATGTTAAGATCAGTTCTAGATAGTAGTTCTTTAGGTTTTGTGTTTCACTGATCATAAAAAATGTGTAAGTATAAAGGTAGGATATTAATATAACGTTATTACAATAATTTCTGCCTGTTATCACTATCATGTAACAAAAGCTGTTTTCATAGCAAAAGAGTAGGATCTTTTGATCATGATGGTTGGAACTTTATGTTAGACTTACTTTTCTCGTTTTGCCACATATTATAGAATTTTATCATATACCAGAACTATCTACTAGTATCAAACCTTTGACAACTACTGCTCTCGAACAATGGAGGCAGATTGATATTTATTTTAACATAAAACCCCACATTGTAAAAGGCTGATATTTACTCCGGTGTTCGTCTGATATGCAGTGGATAATATTGTCCAGGATAATCTAATCTCCCGTTTCACACACTCCTCTTACTGTGTGGTCCTGTCATTTCTAACGTAAAAATACGAGTCTCTGAGCTCCCTTGAATCTAGGGAGCCCATGACTATAGTTGAAAGTGATTCTGTGCCATTTCCAAGGCTAGGTTACCAGAGGTGATGTGGCTTCTGCCTCAGTTTCTTAAGATTTATCTTAGAAACCTGCCTGTGAGGAGACCAACAAGAAAGGAACTGTGGCTCAAGCCTGCAGCTCTGACCACTCCATCCATCTAACCATTGCACCAACCTGCCCAACTGTGAATGAGTCATCTTGGAAATGGATTCTCCAATCAAGCCAATATTTGATGCTATACGGGGTGGAGGCAACTTTCTCTGCTAAGTCGTACCAGAATCATGGGCTTCTGAGATAAATAAATGTTTTGTTTTAAGCCACCCAGTTTTGTATTTATTGGTTTACACAGCAAAATATAACATACACATGTTGGAACTCAGAAATGTGAAATGACATAACAAAGCCCAGAATATGTGGCTTTGGTTCTGAAACTGGATGGTGGGTTGAAGCTGCCAAGGTCTAGTGGGGATCGTGAGTGCCAGCCTCCAGGCCTGAAGTACAGCCCAACCAGAAGCCTCAGATCCTCCATGAGGCTACTAGATGCAGTTTATAAGAAAGAGGGAAATGTCCTTGCAAGCTAGAGAAGAGGGCTTTTGTTAGGAGGCCATAGGAAGTTTTTCATGACGTTAAGTAAAGAACCCAAAGATTCAGTGACTATATTCCAGCTTGACCCCAGTGCCACCCCACCTTTTGTGAGGTGTGAGAGGAAAGGTCTGAGCTGAAGAGAGGAGCACACCAACTTTCAAGTAAGATTAGAACTATAAATGTGCCAGCAGCTCCCAGGTTTGAAATTGAAGTTGCTCTTCATGTCCCAGCCTTCCTAGATGACAAAAGTTACTAAACTAAGAAATGACTTCTGGGAAAAAATAAAATCCAGGGCAGAACTACAGGGGTATCTGTTAAGAAGTCAGAAACACTGAGGGTGGCACCTCGCGATTCTCAGATATTAGGGCTTTTTTTTTTTTTTTTTTTTCATGCGGCCGAGAGGATGGTTTCCGAATGTTGTAGGATGGCATCACAGCTACACCCAGCTGGAAACGGAACTGCCACATCTATCTACTTTTCTCAGAAGTGGCATATGTCAGCATAAGGAACTGTCTGACTCACCTTTCTGCAGTCCCATGTCCACCCTTGACCAAATCAGCTTACTGGGAGATGGACAATGATGACTGACTCACCTGTGCTACAGGCCTGTCTCAGTCACAAGACAGGATGGGGCAAAGCACACTTTAGCCTCTGAGCTCCCCAAGGCTATCAATGCCTACTTCTGCTGGCTTTGCCCAAAACAGTGAAATATAAATTTTATTTATTTCGAGACCAGGTTTCTCTGTGTATCCCTGGCTGTCCTGGAACTTGTTCTGTAGACCAGGCTGACCTCAAACTCAGATATCTGGCCTCTGTTTCCCAAGTGTGAAATATAAATTTATTATGGTTTTTAAAAAGGCTATCAGGGAGGTTGTAATGAAGAGAAGTTCTATAACTCCTGCAGTTTAGTTAGGTGCCGTCACTGGCTTTCAGGACCATGTCTAATGCACAGCTGAATGTGAATTTTGTCCAAGTTTCCTGAGGTATGTGGACTTGGAGAACCTGAATCTTGGAACTTAAAACTACAAGGGCTGTAGTCACAAGGTTTGGTGGAAGAGAGAGAGAGAGAGAGAGAGAGAGAGAGAGAGAGAGAGAGAGAGAGAGAGAACAGTGGAGAGAGAGAGAGAACAGTGAAACATCAGGGAAAGGCATGGTTTAAAACGACCTGAGGCCACGCAGCTGATGCGTCCAAGTGACAACTGGTGATCTAAAGCAAAGTGCGTTGAGAGAAAGCATGGTGAGGTGGGCGTCAGGTGAGGGAAATGAAGGTAGCCTAGTGAAAGTTCTCCCGCAATTTTGGTCCTGCGATGTAAGAAAACCACACGTCTACACAAATAAGAAAGGTGCAGAGCATATTTTAGGGTGATGTAGATGTTTTAGTTATAATTCGGGGGCAGACATAGAGCTTTTGACTGAAATTCAATCTCATTGAGACGTCCTTCAGAGTTTCTTCAACACAGAAGCGATGCAGAAGATGATAGATTCAGTCAGCTTCCTGCTGTGATGTTCTCTCCCCTTGGAGCTCTATGGAAGAGCACATGCAGCAACCTTGATCAGGAAGGCATAGGGAGACTAGAATTCCCTACACACAACATGGCTCCTCCATGGCAGCAAACTGCAAATTGATGATTAGTATTCACTGAAGAAATATTTAACTGTATTTGTTTCTAGTAATTTAGATTGGAGCCCCCAAATCACAGGCTAGGCATCAAGAATTTGTTGATGAATATGTCCTGGGTGACATTGTACCTTCAAGCAAAGAACTAAAATTCAATGATGAGTTGAATGGAGGAAAATGAGAACGTTAAATATGGAAAGGGAAGAAGAAAAGGAAAATGGTAAATTAGAATGAATCAGGAGGTCTGTGTAGTAGAAGTCTAAAGGAACCAGAAGGGCGATGAGTGGGTAAGATGGATACAACATGAAAGCAGAAGGGGGTAGGGATGTAGGAGGATAGTGAGAAGCACGAATGTGAGCCAAGTATAACATACATGTATAAGATGTTACGTGTATAAGAAGCTACAGTGAAACCCATTATTTGGTAGGCCAGCTAAAAGTTAATTTCAAAAGTGAGTCAGGGAGATGGCAGTGCAGTGCCCAAGGGGGTCAGGGCTGAACTGGATAGAACTGGCATAAGAAAACCCGTCATGTATGTTTTTAAAAGCCCAGAGGTTCTGTCTGTGTGGCTGTCTCCGACCCTTTCATCGTTATGCCAGGCAAAGGAAATCAGTTAAAAACAGTTATAGGGGTAGACCACAGTGTGGCCATTAAACGCATGCTCCTCTGCAACTCAATAACTCCTTCTGGATTGGAGGTGAGAAGAATGAGTGCAGCCAATCAGAACAAAAGCAGGTTGGCAAGAAACCAATGGGAAGTCAGCATGGAAACAGCTTTGGCTTTGGTATCAGTTGGCAGTACTGACCCTGGCAAACAGATGCAGAGCTGACCACAACTGAGCCCCGCTCTTTGGGATTTTGAAAGGCTTCATTTTGATGTCATCTCTGAAGCTTAGGCTTGGAAGAACACATCTCTGGGGAAGAACTTGGCCATAAGGTCATTGACATGGGGATGAGGGCTTGGAGATAAGGACCTGAAGGACGGCTTGAAGGATGGAGAGTAAGTTGAGGATGTAGTGGCCACCTCCTTCTTTACATTAGAATCTTTGTGACTGATAACAAATGAGTATAAAATGTGGCAAGAGATGTTTATTCCTGAAGTGACTTCAGGAACCTTCAGGTTAGCTGGCTATAAGGAAAAAACAGAGGAACCCAAGGTCTTCTCAGGACCATCACAAACATTTATTCCTGCTATGTCTTACACAGGGCACCATTTCAGTGGGGGCATCAGGATGATATCCAGCCTGTTGTTGATAGGACAAGCCACCCGCCTGTGGTCAGGCTTCATGGCCCTGAGGAAGAGGTACTTTTTCTACTTCAGTCAAAGGCGTCACAAATCAAACCTCAACCTCAATCTTTTCAGTTTTTTAAAAAATATTGTTTACCACTGTCCTCATTCCCAACTTTAACTGATGTGATGCAACTTACCTTGCTTCTCATTTGCTGAGAGAGGAAAAGTAAGTTTTGAAGTTGGAGCAGTAAGGTGGAATTCCAGAGTGATCTGTACTCATGGAGAATGAGGAGCATGACATTTACTCCTTCCCTCTCGAAGAGTTCTCTTGGTCAGGTGTTCATGGCGAGCCTGCCTTGTGCTGCGAACCATGCTGACAGCCTTAATGAAAGCCAAGAACTCAGTCTCGGCCTCTGAGAGACTCACTGCTCCACCCAAGCACGTGATCAGATCACCACAAAAGCAGTCCAGTCCAGTCCACTCCTTCCCACGTGTAGGTAGTGCTATGATACTAAAATACCAAGGCTGCTGCTACTTCCTTGTAACTATTCCTGGAGCATGAAGGGGAGTGAGTGGTGTTAATGTGCTCAGATCTGAGTGTGCTACCCCCTCAGCTAGGTGGAGTGTGGATGTACCAGATCCTGGTGGGCCTCACGGTCCTCCATTCCATCTTTTTTCTTCCCCCCATTTTACAACAGGGTAGTCTGCCATAGTACAAGTTACTTCTGGAAACACAATGCCAAACAACAGTTTTTCTTTCTGGGCAATAAAAGATGACAATAAGCCTGATTTGCTCTGCGGGAGGCCAGCCGATTACTTTGTGGTCCAGAAGCATTTCACAATTATGATATGTGCTACTGTTGTTCTGGGAGGTAAGTGGCCAGGCAAGACTCCTCTGTCCTTAGAAACTTTCCTCATTGTAGGAGGAGATCACAGCTACATCCAAAGAGCAGCCGATGGAACCTCAAGGTGAGAGTGAAGACTGCCAGGCCAGCTTCGTTCAGCTTCTAAGGAGCACTTGTGTCTGTCTCTTTATTCAGTAACACTAGTTGGGCATGGTAGGGTGGTAGGTAGTGCATTAAAGAGAGTGAGACAGTCCTTGCCGCTATGGAGCTTTGTCATGGGGGAGGTAGGCAAACAAATAAGCATGAGGCAATGTGTTAAGTGTTGATATAATATGTATATTGTATTGTGTATTGACATAACACCATAATGTGTTGCCAGGATTCTCAAATAATAATAAGAAAGAAGCTCCTGATACTGCCTATATGACCAGGCCTACCCTCATCAAATATGACATGAGGGGAGACTTCTCGGCAAACAGACAAAGAGGACACAGACCAGCAATCCACAATTTGCATAGTTGATGTCATTAACTTTGTTTATTATGGCTTTTAAAAAGATTTCATTTTATTGTATGTGCAGGAATGTTTTGCCTGCATACATGTCTATGTACCATGTGTGTACAGTGCCCACAGAGGCCAGAAGAGAGCATTAGAGCTCCCAAAATTATGTAATTACAGCTGTTTGTGAGCTATCATGGATGCTAGTGCTGGGAACTGAACCTGAGTCCTCTGGAAGATCAGCAAATGTTCTTACAGCTGAGCAATCCCTCCAGCTGCTCTTTTGGCCTTTGTTGGGATTTTTCTTTACTCCACCCACTTTTCCTGTCTAGAAGAAAATTAGATAGGGCTTTGTAAACAAAGGCCTCCTAAACATAAGAATTCAGCAGGTGTAGTGTGTTCATAGAGATAGAGTAGCCTAGTAAAAAACACAGGTGCTTTTTTCTCCAGTTAACTCCTGGGATGAAAGTTCTAGGTCTCTGCAAAAGAATATTTACTTAGGAAAAACACCAGCTGCTCCAAACCCTTTTCTGGAGTCAGGAAGATCGTCTAGGACCAAATAATGAGACAAATATGAGCAAAGAGCATCTTCATTTTATTATTTATCAGGGAGCAAAATTGCTTTGTCTAGAAATTTTTAATATAATCACAAGGACTTTGGTTCCTTTGGGTGGCCACAATGATCTGATGACTGAGTTTTGCTGACTCTAGATACACTCCGAGGATGTAAAGATAAGCAGCCAGCAGCAAAGGGCATTTGTGGAAACAGCGAGAATACCATCTCTTTACCTAGACTTAAACATAAGAAGTATTCAATAATTATTTACTGATTTGGTTCAACTTCAAGCTGGGAGGCAGGATGCAAGAACCCAGGCTGCCAGTGGGTCTTGCTTTATGCACAAATGCACAGGATTATAGTCTGTCTTGTATCTAGGAGAAAAAGAGGAATCGTCTTGGACAGAACAGGTTTAAAGGCAGCCCGACCATGACAAGTGCCTTCCATGGCTTGTCCTGTGAAGGAGGCAACCCTTATGCTACAGTCAGTTTCACATATTTCTTTCTTCCAGGAAAAATATGGAGTATATGTTATTTTAGCACAGAATGAATAGTTTTTAACATAAAATGAAGTATATAGATATTAATTTTGGCTTTTCATTACTTCCCACCATCAAATCCATCACTAAGATGCCTATGGAGTGACCCTAATACCTGCCTGGGTGAGCAAGTGTATGAGGTTGGTGAAACCTCAGTATTTTCTACACTCTCCTGTGAGGGATGCCTAATTATGTGTACCTTATCCTTAACAGATTGTATTTATGGGCCAGTGAGGTGGTTTCAGGAGGTAAAAGCACTTGCCCCAAACCCAAATAGCATTTGTAACAATTGTACTATTCACACACATTATGACTCAGAAGTTGAAAATTAAATAACTAGGCTGAGTATTAATTACATTTTTTGAAAATATAAATAATTTATCTCTTTTGATAAGGTTTATTCTTAAATTGATATATAATGTGTATATATGTATTTATGGGTCACAGTACAACTTGACACAAACATACAATGCATAATGATCAAATTGGGTAATTACCGTTTTGAAATTATAAGTTATATTTTTATTTTTTAGGGCTTTCAAAGATGGTTTTAAAGAATTCTGAGGTCTTTGTGTTGATGATTCTCTCCCTGTCAGGATTTGTGACAGGGCAACTGGCTTACCATTTTGTTGAGGTACCGTATACATAAGTTAGAGAGTAAATCAAAGGTCAAACACCTCAAACAAGGCCCACTCCTAATGTGTAAGTGTTTCCTCTTCTGCAGTCCTGAGGCTCAACCCCAGAACCTCATGCATACCAGTCAGAAGCATTCTCACACCCCCAACCCTATGGAATTAAAAATAATGTGAACAGGCATTCAAATAATTTCATATGACACTAAGCATCTCTAGAAAGAAAGACCCGTAAGAAATACAGCAAGAGAGTCCTAAGTTCGGAAAGCTTCAAACGAAGCAGTGGTTTGGAAGTGAGGACAGTTCATCTCATCGGCAGGTTCCTTGTCATCCTTCTCCCAGCCTTACCCCTTGCCCTTTGTTACTCCTTCGGAGTTCTTGTTTCTTTCCATTGTGGGTACACGGGCTTATTCTCTGATGGTCACTTTAAACATGGAGAGACTCGACACAAAAGGCAGCCTCTCTTTTAAGATTTATTTATTTTATGTGGATGGGGTGTTTTGCCTGCATGTCTGGAAGAGTGCTGCGTGCCATGCCTAGTACCCCTGAAACCAGAAAAGGGTGCCAGATCTCCTGACACTGGAGTTATAGACAACTGTACCCACTGTATGGCTGTTAGGAACTTCACCCGGTCCTCAGCTAGAGCAGCAAGTGCTCTTAACCATTAAGCCATCTCTCCAGCCCCTGCAGCAGTTATTTTCATGATAAAGCATGGTTGATCTTTTCTCTCAGATTAGATATGAAACATGCACAATATAGCCACAAGAAAATAGTCCTTCATTTTTTCCCCAACTTATTAATGCCTGGCTTTAACAGCGATACAATGTGCATCAACAAGTTATCACCATTCAATGTTTTATTTTTTGAGATGGAAGTAATACCTAAAGCCATATATATATATATATATATATATATATATATATATATATATATATATATATATACACACACACACACACACACACACACACACACACACACACACACACACACACACACACATTTGTATAGGGCTGCAGAAGCCTGTCAACCTCCTGAAGTTCCACCACACCCCCAGGCTAACACCATTTGAGCGTTGACTACTGCCACACTCATTTTCAAGTGCGCTCTCTATACTCAACTCATTAATCCTTGAGTTAGCTCATTCATTCTTGCAGGAACTCAATGGCAATAAACTCTCCAGCCACCTTCCAGACTGAGGCAAAGAGAAGTTAGATAATGGAGCTGTTAAACTGGAATGGTCTAGAATCACCTTTTTAGGAGGGAATATTTACAGCATTTCAACAACCGTTGTTGTGTTTTCTATTACTTTATTTTCACTCTCTATCATCAATGCCTTATAATAACCGATTATACCAACATCTAAACATCGAATTTCTCTGTTGACTAACTGGAATTTTTTTTTCAATCCCAAGTAGATCCTTGTGAGGCCTCAAATATCTGTGTGAGAATATATAATAGATATATTAAAATAAGTATCTAATAGCTTAATAAAAATGCTTTTCTGTGAATCGGATAGTATTATCTCAGGTAACACCAATGGTAAGGGATATATATCATTTTTGAAAGCATCAATTTTAGGTTCTAAGCAATGTTTGTGTAAAACATATTAGAGAATGTCAGTTTAAAAGGAGGAAAGGGTGGAAAGGGAGGGGCTGGAGAGATGGCTCAGTGGTTAAGAGCACTGGCTACTCTTGAAGACGATCTAGGTTTGGTTCCCATCACACACACACACACACACACACACACACACACACACACACACACACACACACACACACACACACACACACACACACAGCAGCTCACAGCCCTCTATAGCTCCAGTTCTACGGCATCTGACACCCTACCCTGGCGTCCTGGGCTACTGCATGCATATGGCATATGTACACAAATGCAGCTAAAACATTCATGCACATAAAACTAAAACAAACAATTCTGCAAAAGGAGGAAAGATGCATTTTGGCTCATAGTTTCATAATTTTCAGTCCGTGGTTGTTTGGCTCCATGGCTGTGGTATGTGAGGAGATGGAGCACCATCACCATCATGGCAGAGGATGGGGTAGAGCAGGGTTGTTCATCTCATGCCAGAAAGAGAAAGTCAGGGGTCAGGACAATATATACCCTAGAACGCCACATCAGTGGCCTCCTTCCCTCCAGCGCCCATATCCTAAAAGCCCAAATGTGATATTAGCATCCTCATAATCCAAGCACCTCTCAATAGCGCCACCTGCTGGAATCAAGCCCTCAAACCACGAACCTTTTGGGGGTGGGGTGGGGGAATGGGATGGAGGAGGGTGGGGACACACTTCTAAACCACCACAAGTAACAGACTAATTTTTCCATGCATTTGTTGCTTTAGGTGCACCAAATTGTCTACCCTCTTCTAAAAACACCGAGTTTTTCACTTTATTGTTATTTTTTACCTTTAATTGTATTTGTGGCTGCTTTGGATGTGGACTTTTACATAGTCAAGAACGTGTTATGGCAGGTAAGAAAACATTTTAGAACATTTTAAATTAGTGGTTCTACAGAACACTAATTTAAAAGAGTTGAGGGGTAGGGTGTGTGGGGCAATTAGTGTTTGCTGAGGGACTGCTATGTTTAGGATCCGAGTAAACAACATCTCAGTTTTGCCCATGAGCAAACTGAAGCTCTGAAGTCACAAGGGGGTCAGTAAGTATTTGGGTCTTGGTTCTGGTCCTAATCTGGTCTCATCATGACAGTGTCTTTTTTTTAATGGCTGGGATTGTAGTTATCGTTTCTCCTTTTCCTTAATTACACTCATTGCATTATTTTGTTTGTGTTTCAGAGAACATTTCCCCCATTTTGGTTTAACTCCGTTCTTTCTAGCATCTTGAATTAAAATTAATTAAATTGTAACATTTTAATGGTATTTTGCATATTCAATGCTTAATTTTTTTCCCTTTTACCTGATCTCATGTTTTGACTTTTAGTGTTTTCATTATTATTCAACTCTAATTTTAAAATGCTTTTCTGGGTTGAGGGGACACACTCACTCTTTTTTAGTTATGTAGCTTTGGCTGGCCTGGAACTAACTCACTATGTGGACCGGGCTGGCCTTGAATTTATGAAGTTTTGCCTGTTAGGGTTAAAGGCGTTTAACCATGCCTGCAGGGTATGAGTTAGTGCTGCAGTAAGGAGAGATGTGCAAAGTAATCTGTGGACTGTTGATTTAGAGTCCTTCGGGTACATTGCATCCCCAAACTCCGTACAAGTCCATGCCAGTTAAAAATAATGAAGCAATGGCTAGAGACATGGCTTAGTTAAGACACCGGCTGCTCTTCTAGAACACATGAGTTTGGTTCCCAGCACCCACATGGCAGCTCACAACCATCTGTAACTTCAGTTCCAAGGGATCTGATGCCCTCCATGGGCACCAGGCATGCAGGTAGTGCACATGCCACAGACGTACATACAGGTAGAACACCCATACACATAACATTAAAAAAAAGCAGAAAGAAGAAACAAAGTTTAAGAGAATAAAATGACCAAAATACATTGTATGGATACATGAAACCCTCAAAAAATAAATAAAAATATTACATTATTAAAAATAGTAAAGTAAAAAATACCAGTCAGCCAGGATATGGTTCTTCAACATGAGAAATGCAGTCATGTTATCTTTGGGTAGATGTGACTCTTCGTGATGAATTGGTTCACAGGTCTTGCTAATGGGAATGATTAGCTTTGGTACGGCGTTTGTCATCATTGCATATGTGGTCTTCAAATTCAATAAGGATTCATGGGATCTGCAGTGCTGTTTACTCTTCAGCATCACCCTGTGCTTAATAGACCCTCTCCATTCCGTCAACTCGCTAAAAACGATTGGTACGTCAGTTCCCTTCTTTCTGGGGATGTGTTGTTTCCTTTGGACTGTACTTTCCTTGCATGGATTGTGTATTTAGCAGAGTAGGGATTAGTGCCTCATTTTCTCAAGGACAGATAACTGACTTGAAGGCAAAGCAGATAAGACAGTTCCTGGAGACAAACGTAAATATTAATCCATAATCAGATTCTGAGTAATCTGAGGTCATGTGGAAGCATTCCAGTACTTCACATCCAGATTAGAAATTGTAAAACAGATTTCCCTTAAAACAAAAACTATAGATATACTACCTTAGGAATAACAATAATAATGATAATGGTAATAGTACTTCAATTATATATTTTCAATTATTATTATTTCAAAACCCCAAGGTAAAAAAGAACATTAGACAGGTTCAGTTTTCTCTGTGATGATGATGATGATGATGATGATGATGATGATGTCATTTAATGTGATCAGTTTGTTTTTTATCCAATGGCTTGTATTAAGTGGTTGCTTTTACTTCATTTTATTTTTTGAGACAAGGTTTTACTGTGTGGCTTTGGCTTACCCAAATCTCACTATATAAACCAGGCTGGCTTTGAATTAAGAGAGCCAGCTGTCTCTGCCTCCTGAGCATGGCCTAACAGTTGCTTTTAAAATACATGGGTGTATAGGAAAGCAAACTAAAAAAAAAAAATTTAAAATTCAAAAAAATAAATAAATAAAGGAAGGAAACTGAGCAAGCCGGGGGATCAAGCAGCGATCAGCACTCCTCCATGGCCTCTGTCTGGGTTCCTGCTTCTGGGCTCCTGCTTGAGTTCCTGCCCTGACTGCCCCCCAGTGATGGACTGTGATATGGAAGCATAAGCCAAGTGAACCCTCTCCTCCCCTAACTGCCCGTGGTTGTGGTGTCTTTCACAGTAATAGAGACCAGACCCAGGCAGTAGCTTTAAATCAGTGTGTGTTTACACGTGGCAAACACCACAAATCAGGCTTTCTCTTTTTCTGTTTTCTTTTAAAAGGGTCTAGAGACCAAGCCCTACATGTGCCAGACAAGAACTCTACCCCTTAACTATATCCCCATCCCAAATGTCATCCTTTTTAGTTTTGGAGAGCTGGCTTATTGGTATACCACTGGATTTTGGGAGGCGGGGGGAGAGATACAAGAGGCCTCAATTAAACTTCTAGAGCTGCAAAGCACAGGGTTAGTGGAGAAAAGAATACTCTGCAAAGACAGGGTCAGTGAACTTGCAGACACAGCAGTGGGAACAGTCCAGAAGGAATGAGAGAAGCAGACTGGGAAAATCTGAGCACCAGTAAGCAGTGGGACAAGCACAGGGGACCCAATATGTGAATGCTCAAAGGTGGCAGGCAGAGAAGGGATCCATGTTTGAATGAATAATGAATAAAAAACTCTTAATTTGGTAGAAACTCAAAGGTTCAAGTATCTTCAAAAAAAAAAATCCCAAATCCAAGAGAAACAAAACCATACCACGGGAAATCAAAATAAAATCCTCAAAAAATCAACGATCCAGAAAAAAACAAAAACAAAGACAAACAAACAAACAAAAACCCCTCAACAGCAGCCGGAGGAAATGGCTAAGGGGTAAAGATACTTAGTATATAATAATAAAAGAAATCCTTTGTCCTGGAAGCTGCTTTTGGTTAGGATATTTTTCTTATCACAGCAACAGAGACGAAACCAGGGCAGGTCCATACAAGGGGTGCGCCTGCCATGTTCCCTTGGGACTGAAAAGTCAGAAGGCATGGTACGAAATGTAACAAGTGCTGTTGGTGACCGTTGCACAGACTCATGATGGTTATGATTGTCTTCTTTCTGTTTTTTTTTTTCTCTAGCATGTTCTAGCTCTCCTCTGTTTTCTGTGCAAGAGCACCACTTGCACCACATTAAATTATCTTTTCTGTCCTTTCCCAGGCATTTCTAAGATGTACACTGATATCATCAGAGGAGAGTCACTGATCATTTGTAGTTTTACATGCATATTCTTTGGAATTTTTCGGGGCCATGCAACTAATGTTTCCATGTTCAGGGGTAAGATCATTGTGCTTTGTCTGTACATTTCCTAAAATCATTCTTATTGAAATGAAAGTGCATTCGTCTTTCTATCTTTCTCTATACATTCTCTTGGACCAATTAAAATGATAAGCTAGATGGCAAGTAAATAACTATCATCTTTGCATTTTATTGATCACTAAAATACACAGTGTATATTTTGTGATCAGTGATATGCAAACAGGGGTATATGGGAGAGTTGGAGAGAGAAGAGGGAAGGGTGAATAATATAATTTTATAATCTCAAAAAATAAAAGAAATAATTAAAATAATAGTAATAAAACCCATTTCCTCTCCCCTAGCATGCATGCACACGTACACCATTACATCATCTGACTCAGATTATCTCTTGAGGTAGGATCATTGTGTTTCTCAGCCAGTGGATGTTAAGGGTTGCCTTGGTCATAGATTTGACGCTGAAAACAGACTGTTCATATAGTATTGATAGAACAACCCTAAGAATGAGAGTAACTGGATTTGTATGGCTAATGATCACTGGGATGTGGAATATGTTCCCTTGACAGGTTTCTAGATGTTGTACTAGTAGCTAGAGAAGAAAGGGAATATCAGATCATAGCATGGAGGGGAAAAGTTTCCTCCTGTTACGTATTTGTGATAGCTGCAAGAAGAGGGTGAGAAGGCCTGAAAGCAGAAAGAAATGTTGGTGGAAAAGGAGACGCTCACAGTCCTTCTCAATGAAGGAGCTATGGTGATTTGGGCAGACAATTTAAAAATGATGTATTAGCATATACTAAGTAAGTATAAAATGGATTTCATTAAGATATTCTCATGTATGTACATAATGTATTTTAATTATATTCAATCTTGTTTTTATCCTTTCTTGTCTTTCTCACTCCCATCAATCCTCTTTTTCAACTAGCCCCTCTATTTCATGTCTTTTTGTGCATGACCCAATGAGTTTCATCGGGATTGCCGACAGGAGTGTGGTGGGAGTTTGTTTCCATCCCTGGAGAAATCGATGTTAAGTTATAGACTGAATGGGAAGAGTGTTCCCAGAGAGCCTCTTTTTCAGATCCTCTCTGGGTGCTCTCTCTGAAGAACAGGCTCCCTGTTCACAAACCGAAGAGCTACCAGTGAAAACAAACCAACACAAAAGTCCCAGACGTTAAAATCAAGTTTTCTGTCTCATTTTCTCTCCTTTCTTTTATTTTTAGAGTTACATGTAATCATTGGACTCAGCCTTGATATTTTTGGGAGCACAATATGTGGATATTGGTGTACCAGAGTCATTCAGATTATATTGACCGACATTTTCAGCAACACGCTGACTAACGTTGTTCTGTGTTTTTCACTGGTGTACATGACTTTCTACCTCGGTAAGGCAATCGAATGCAAAGTGTACGAACCTCGGTTTTGCCCTGCTCCTTACTCCGGATGCGTCTTCACCACTTCTGCCTCTTTGCGGCTGGCTGCCTTCCGTCTTGTCTCATCACCTCTTTGTCATCTCTAGTTCTCCCCTGCCCTCTCTGAACATCCTCTTCATTGGAAACTCCATGTCTCCTTCTCTTTGCACCTCTGGGTACTCTCACCCCTTGGCGCCCTATTCTCTAACCTATATAGGCTGTCCCTGGCGGTCCCCTAGGAGAACACGGAGTTCGTTTCCGTTCTGACTCTTGAGCAGCTCACCTATAAAATGGGAAAGTTGGCAGAGAAGCTCCTGAGGTCTTTCCCAGCTCGACAGCCTTCACTTAGTAAGCCGAGGAGGCTGTTGAAATGCCGACCTTTTCTTGAATCTAGAAGGCAGGAAAGTAGAGGGAGAGATCAGGGATGCTTCTGTCCGGAAGAGAAGATAGGGCAAGACAACTGCAAGAGTAATAGTACCCCGCCCGTGTGGGCCTTCACTTAGTTCAGTCCTGTAAAATGGGGACTTGAAGTGTTACAGTTCCCATGAGCCAGAGTAACTATGACCAAACTGCTTTTGCTCTCATCTCATACAGTGGAGCAACTTCCAGCCAACTAAGATCTCAGCTCTCCAGAGCTCTTTACACGCCCAGTTAAGGAAAAGCACTGTTTTCCCTATTAATATATCGCCCTCTAGTGGTTGCTCACTGCCCTGAGCCAGTCAAACTAGAGAAAACATTCACAGAAGACTCATTTCCTTAAACTTTAGCTCTTTTCTTCTCTGTGAAAGTTTTGTGGATGCCTATACCAGGTTTTTTCTTTTGGGCCACCAACCAGTTCCAAAATCATGACACAGAGACTTATTATTAGTTTTGAATGCTTAGGCACGTTTCTGGCTAGCTCTTTTAACTTAAACTGTTTATCTTCATCTACCTTTTGCCTCGGGGCTTATTGCCTCTCTTACTACGGTAAATCTTAACTTTCACTGCATCTCTGTGTTTGGCTGGCGTCTGCCTGGCTTCCTGCCCCGAGTGTGTTCCTCTTCCTCTCTCTCTCGAGCCCAGAGTTCTCCTCCTATTTATTCTCTCTGCCTGGCAGCCCCTTCTATTCTTTCCCTGCCTAGCTATTGGATGTTCAGCTTTTTTACTAGACCAATCAGGTGCCTTAGGCAGGCAAGGTGAAACAAATGCAACACATCTTTACATAGTTAAACAAATGCAGCATAAACAAATGTAACACATCTTTGCCTAGTTAAAACAATATTCTACAACAGATGCCTTATCTTCAAAGAAGATTCCATTCCACCTTTCCATCTCCTTACCAGATTGTGAGCCTCTGGAGCACGAGTGGAGCTCATAGCTCTTGCTCTCTGTTTTGCCTCTTTTCAGCCAAGCTTAGAGTTTGTCAAATGCCCGACAGTAATTTAATACATCATGATCAAATAAACCAAAATTCCTTCTCAAAGAGTTTTTGAGTAAGCAGACCCCAGATATACTTCATCAACCAGTGGCCTTGGGACATACTTAGCCTCTCTAAACTTGTCTCTTCATCTATACAAATGGTCTAATACTTCATTTGTATAGGGCACTGCAGGCAATAATGAAGGAAGGTGTGTGACTTCCTATGCTTGTGAGCTGGATGTACCTAGGGGCTGGCAAGAGCTTATTATGCACATCTCCTCCCACCTCTTTTCAAGTGACAGTTGTTCATGGGGGGGTGGCCTTTATACCATGCATGTCAAGTCTTTCTCTCCTCCACCTCAGCCCCCTGACAGTCATTAGTTTTTAAGCCTTTGCCAGCTCACCACTGGGTTCTTCTAGGAATGGAGGTGTTTCTAATCAAGAACAGATTAGATGAACCAGAACTGAGTGGTAGAGGGGGCAAGACCAGGTTGCCAAGCATTTTTGCCTCATTTTCACATTAGAAGATTCCCAGCCCCGACACACAAGTTTTCAGGTTGGGATGAGACTGTCACTTAACAGTATGGATTCCATATTTTCATTCAGCCATGTGACCAAAGTGCTTGATCAGTTCAGCTGATCAAGTCAACAAAACCCTATTGACAAAAATGTGTTTAAAACTCAGCATGAAAGAAAACAAGCTATATACATTTGCAGAACCATTAGCTTTACTTGACTTGATTGTTTAAGTTAAATTCAGTTAGGCAAGTAGATAAGAAAGTCAAAAGTGATGTTAAGTGAATAAATAAATGAAAAAAATAGTGAAATCTTCTTTCCTGAATATTAATAAGTATTGCTAAGCAGTAAAACCAGCGGATCAAAATCAATACCACGAACACAACGATGATTATCCATTGCCATGAAACTGTGCCAAGCAATATTTCATCTAATTTATTGTTTGCAATAAGTGTACAAGGTGCTGCTGTTTCACACTTGTTTGGTACATGCAGGGACACTAATGGAGAAAGGGAGGTCACATTCCAAAAGCAGGTGTCTCTTCCACTCCTTGTCTGGATGCTTTTTCTCTTCTTTTCTGTCTGCTCTTCGTCTGCAGCTCAGCACCGACGGTATTTATGGTGTTCAAACATTCTCCCTAGACTAGGTTTCAACATCTAGAGCCCAGTGAATTACCCTTTAGTCAGAAAGGGGAAGGCAAAAGCTCCAGGAAGCTGTGAGGTCAGCCAGCAATTTCTGGTACATGCAGGACAAGGCCCCTGAGGTGCTGAGTGGAGATTACATAACTGCTTTCCCCACTAACCCTAGCCTTGGTGATGATGTAGGGTTGCCAAACTGGGTCAAATCTGCTCTTAGCTAAAAATAGCATTGTAAAAAGAGCAGAATAAAAGAAAAATGTCTCGTGGAGATGAAGATGATAGGAAATTAAAAGCCCACGGTGCTGTGTGGTTAGTCATTTGTTTGCATGCTATCTCGGGCTTCTTTTACAGAGTAATAGCTGTGACAGGTCCCCTGGGGCTCACAAAGGCTAGGTATTTATTATATGGCCCATTACAGAAGAAACATTGCTATTTCCTGACCTACAGTATTAGGCTAATCCTTTGAAGAAACTTTCTAACAAGAAACACCACTTTCAATGTTCCTACTGATTCTTTACTCAGCGCACACCAGTGTGCAGATTTAATTGCATTTAATGTTAACTCTCTCTCTCTCTCTCTCTCTCTCTCTCTCTCTCTCTCTCTCTCTCTCCCCCCAGTGGAATATTTTGGAATGTCGGGCATTATTGCTTTGGTCACGGTAGGCCTGAATTTAGATTCGCTAAGCTTTAAACCGCGGATGGAGTTCATAATTACAAAGTGAGTTTTCTGCTGCATACTCAGTATAGATCCCATAGGATTTGGGTGCTTAAGCAGTCTTGTCTTTAAGGAAGCTGATATGACTCCATTTATAGACATTTTTTTCTATTTTTAAAGTTTTAATGTGCTAACAGTGATTACTGATATTCTGAGTAAAGAATCAGTGCTTCAGAGACCACAGTGCCTTCTCTACATCACTGTAATAGTTATACTTTGAATTGTGGGTTTTTTCCTTCACATCACACTTGACTGACACCATCCTGATGTGAGAAGGAAGTCAGAAGAAAGAAGGGAGTCAGAGTGAGATGCATCATAGATGGGGGTGTGGACCAGTGTCTTCTCAGACAAATGGGTTAGTCCTTCTCTGGAAACAGTGCTAAACCACAGAATTGCTCAGAATCTGGGCACCAATTTGCAATTTACCAAAGAAACTCATCTCTCATCTCAAATGAAGGCAGATGTGGACAATATACCTTAACCTTGACTTTTCCCATGAAAAAGTCAGTGCAAAAGTTGTTTTGAGCCGGGCGGTGGTGGCGCACGCCTTTAATCCCAGCACTCGGGAGGCAGAGCCAGGCGGATCTCTGTGAGTTCGAGGCCAGCCTGTTCTACAGAGCGAGATCCAGGAAAGGCGCAAAGCTACACAGAGAAACCCTGTCTCGAAAAACCAAAAAAAAAAAAAAATAAAAGTTGTTTTGAAATAATGTCCTTCCTATATTTTTGGATGTTTAAATTATCCTATAAAAAATTAATACCAGTGATAGAGGACAGTACTTTTTTTTCTCTTTTTGACAAAATGAAACAAAATTGGCACCTATAACTTTTATTACTTCGATGTGTTTGTGAATGAAGTTTGGGACTAACTGATTTATAAGGTTTATTGCTTGATGTAGCAACCGAGCTTGGATATGATATTGAGACTGGCCATGCTGTCTTTCAACATTATTGTAATTCCTCATTCTATTCATTCAATTGTTTATTCTTTCACTTAAGCCACTAATCTTTTTCTGCCTGCTATGGCCTGGCTGTTGATTTTAAGCCTGAGGCAATGGGAATAAGACATTTTCCAAAGAACAAATAAGCAAAAAACAAACACCAACAAACCAAACCAAACTCATGCTATTGTTAAGTGACATACTTGTTTATATACAAAAGCTAATGGTAAGTATTCTGAAATTATGTATTTTTTGGGTCCTATTATCTGCAAAGGCATTGTTAGACCTTATGGAAATATTTTGCAAAGCATTCAACTCATCAGTTATTCTATGACAGCTGAGAGCTAAGCAGTGGGGTTTGAGGTCCCACATTCATACTTTCCTCCACAGCAGCTCTGAGTGGCTTGGATCAGGAGATAGGAATCACTCGGAGAGTCACACTGTGTGCTAATTATATGCGAAACATGCTTTATCTGCAGCTAAAATTCAACTTCCTAACACTTCTTCCCTGGGGTAGATCTTGAGAGCCACTGTGAGGGCATTGGTTCTGGGGCAGAACAGCTGAAAGTCCCGGGAGAGGGAATCAAGAGAAGGCAGGATTTGAGATCTGCCTGTAGATGTCAGATCGGGCCCTGACTCATGCAAGCCAGCATATAGGGCATCAGAGATTTCTCAGAAGCAATCTGAGAGCAACCTATTGCTCTTCCTTGCTTAACTGTGATGGTGCAGGCAATCAGCACGGCAGGGACTCAGAAGAGGTCATGTCTAATAGAGAGCATCAGATGGAGAACACAGGGCAAGAACCAGGTTTCCCAGACTTGTAGAAATTCAGCAGACTGGAGAGCAGACAAGAGGGGCTTTCTGTGGGAGCCCGCTCCCACCTTTTGAAGGGGTCTTAGGTGGAGGAGAGAGGAATGAGGAAATATCAGATAGAAAGAGAGACCTAGACGATGAGAAGAAAGACAGAAATACAGGATAGCTTTGGGAGAGCCTGGGTCAATACCCAACAGCCTTGTCCTGTTTTAAAAAGGGCTTTTTTTTTTTTTTTTTTTTTTTTTGGTTTTTCGAGACAGGGTTTCTCTGTGTAGCTTTGCGCCTTTCTTGGAACTCACTTGGTAGCCCAGACTGGCCTCGAACTCACAGAGATCCGCCTGGCTCTGCCTCCCGAGTGCTGGGATTAAAGGCGTGCGCCACCACCGCCCGGCAAAAAGGGCTTTTTATAACATGCCAAGGGGAGAGGCAAAAGACCTCCCCCTTGCAAGATCAGAGCACACCGTACAGCCAAAAGTAAACCCTTCAAAACACCTGGTAGCCATACCCGTGGTCAAATCATCCCATTATGCAACCCTTCTGGGTAAAAGCAAGCTCAGATTCTCTGACCCTGAGTAAGTTCTCACTAGATAGCCTTTGTGGGCTCCCACAGTTTTCGAGAGTAAAGGGAGGAGTATATGCAAGTCCCAGCAGAAGTGGTGAAGGGTATTGCATCATCTTCAGCTGTCACTTGGAGGTACCCAGGTGACTGTAACCATTCTCACTCTGGACTTTGAAGTAGCAGCGCCAATATTAGATAAACTGCTGGTTAATCCCGGAGAAACTGGTACGTTACCAGCTTGGGGAGGGCTTGATTTCTCTGCTTTGCTCTTACTGCTGCGTTGTGAGAGGCACTCCCTTGAGTTTTGGTGTGATGGTGATAATGATCTGAGTGTCTTAGATTGACAACATACTTTTTTCATGTTGACTGTAACTAGGATGGAGGCCACAGTTTCCACTGAGATAACAGTGTTAGGCATAACATAGATACTTTTATGTGAAAGAGAATATATTTTAAAAGTGTATTGATTAAAGTGTCATTTCCTTTTTATCCGTCCTAGGTTCTTAATAATGTGTTCATCTGCATATGAACATTTGATATATGGTTTCTTTGGCATTGTTGTTGGCTGTGGAGAAATCAAGTATTTCAGATTTCACTCCCTAGTTTTCACTGTCATCTTATATATAACAGTGAATTTTGCAAGGTAACGATGATATTTTAAAGTTTCCTTTGCTGGGCTTAGATTATTTTTTTGTGTAAATATGCACTTATGTATTCAGGTGTGTATGTGTGTGTGTGTGTGTGTGTGTATGTGTGTGCACACATGTGGAGTCCTGAGGCTGATGTTGGATGTTTTCCTTTACAACTTTATCTTATTTAAAAGATTTAAAAATTACATGTTGTTTGCTTATATGTGTTTACACGTACACATATATATTCACATGTTTTGATGTCAGAGGACAAATCGCAGGAGCTGATTCCTTCCTTCCACCATGTAGGTCCTAGGGATTGAACTCGGGTTTTCAGACTTGGCAGCAAGTACCTTTATCTGCTGAGCCCTCTCACTGGTCCATCCACGGTCTTTACCTGAACCTGGAGCTCTCTGCTTCAGCTAGACTGACATACTGGCAGCTCCCAGTGGTATCCCTGTCTGTGCCTACTGAACACTGGGGTTACAGGGACAGACGACTACTTTGACTACTTCTGCCTTTTATGTGGGTGCTGGGGATTGAACTCAGGTCCTCACTCTTGGGCCCCAAGCACTTTGCCAACTGAGTCACCCCTCCAGTCCCCAAGCTTAGATTCTTAAGCCCAGAGTTAGAATTGGAAGCAGTGGAGTCCAGGGAAGAAAATGTCACAGGAAACACACACTGTTGTCTCGGCCTTGGCAATGGCATGCTGTGCAACCCTGGGAGAGTGGTTTTTTTTTTCTTTCTCAGTTTTCTCCTAGAAAAGACTCTCATCAGCCCTGAGTGTGATAGAAACTCAAAGTCAATGGCCTGTCTTGACTGAGTGGAGTTGAGATCTGGGAAACAGTTCTATGTGTTGTCAGGTCCTTCTGACTCAAGGTTAAATTTAGAGTACCATAGGACAAGATGAATGGCATTTTCCATTCTTGCAGCAATACTGAAGTGTAAGCCAAATAAACTCTTCCTCTCCATCTTAATTTTTGGTCATGGTGTTTTGTCACAGCAATAGAAACCCTAACTAAGATACAAAAGTTTTTGGAAAGATTATATAATAGAACTCAAAAGCTTATGAAGGACTTTGCAGAAGCCTTGAATGTGAAGCAGAAGAATTTGCCTGAGTTAAGTGCATAGTGTACAGGTGATTGTAGACTCTCTTTTGCTAAGTGATGGAAATGATCTAACTAGTTTGTGTTTTGCTTAGTTGGGAGAACTCATAATTAGTAAATCCACACAGCATTTTTGCTGAGGCTAAAACATGTCTGATTTTACTTTTGCTGAGGATTCATTTGTCCCAAATCATCTGAAGCACAGTATACATATTTTCTTGGTACAGATCCCTTAAAGGTAGATTCTGAGGGGCTGGAGACATGGCCCAGAGGTGAAGAACACTGTCTGCTCTTCCAGAGGAACTGGAGTATTTCCCAGAACCTACAGGTCAACTCACAACAGACTGTAACTCTAAGTCCAGGGGATCTAACACCTTCTTCTAGCCTCTGAGGTCACTAGGAATGCATGTGGTACACAGACATACATTTAGGCAAAACATCCATACACATAATAAAACAATGAAAAAAAAGTTAGATTCTGACTTTTGTCACAAGATTCTACTGAAAACTGGTCTTAAAATAAGCAGAAACACATTGAAGTATGGGATTCTTTTCTGCCTATTTTTGTGCATGTGTGTGTGTGTGTGTGTGTGTGTGTGTGTGTGTGTGTGTGTGTGTGTAGTGCATATATGTATGTGGATGTAGTGGATGTATGTGTATGGGGTGTGCATGCACATGTATATTCATGCATGCTTGTGGGGAAGGCCCGAGGTTGATTTTGAAACTCATCTTTGACTGCCCTTCTTCTGCCTTACTCACTGAGGTGGTCTCTCAGTCAAGCCCAGGGCTATTCTCACAGTTTACTCTGGGAGTCTCCTGCCTCTGCCTCCTGAGGCTGGAATTGTAGGTGGGCCTCCACACCCACCAGGCATTCATTTATTTGGGTTCTAGTGATCTGAACTCCAGTCCCCACCCTTACCTGGCAAGTATTTTCACTACTGAACCATCTCCCCAGACCTAGTGTATGATTCTTGTAGGAGGTAAAGAAAAATTTTGTTTGGTTAAGTTTATAAATGTGTCTATGGTAGTTTCGGTTGTTTTTTCGGGGGAGGTGGGAAGTCTGATCAACACTTCTTCCAATTCCAGTTTCTCAGTCATTTTATGGTTTGTCACAGAATAGATGATCTTGGCAAGATGCTTTGGAGATGCATTGTCAATATGCTGTCCATATAGGAATTTACTACCTAACTGCAAATTATACATGCGTGTTAGTGATAAGTCTTTATGTTGTGCAGAATTTCTCCTACTATGCACATGCCATAGTGTATGCAAACTTCAGATTAGCTCCAATGCCTTATTGATAACCTCTGCTGTCTTTGCATTCTTAAATGAAGTTTAGTGCTGAGTACATGATTTTAACCATGAATAACATTACTGGATGATGTACGTTTTACTTATTTATACTGTTTTCCTGCCAACAGGTTGCTTACTGTTATTGTAGTGAGCCCTATTTTGAAGCATTCAAGCTATGAGTATGATTGGCGATGGGGAGTTGTCATCACATGGTCTGGAATTAGAGGCGTTTTTAGCTTACTCTTGGCTCCTGATATTTATAATTTTTCTGAAAGCAAAATAGAGGCACCACATATGGTAGGGGAAATAATCGTGTGTTGTGATTATTTTTATTTACGCATTATTACTTATTTTGTAGCATACCATACCTCATCTTAATGTTAACCAACTTTGAATTGTTTTTTTTTTTTTAATGCACTTCTCAGTAGAAAAAAGACATGTCAGAAAAAAGTTCATGTTGGTCATGTGAAAGGGGTCAGCGTTCACATAGTGATTATGAATAGGGTTATTTGTGGGTTTGATTTCCAATCTTGACTCCACCATCTACAGTCTGGCTGACTTTGGGGGATATTCCTCAGCTTCATTGAGTCTCAGCTTCTAATTGAGGGTTGAAATCATGCTTAGTAAAATAGCTGACGCCTAATAAATGCTCAGTAAGTTTTACTGAGCCCACAAATGCCATTTTCCCCCAATAGCCATCAGAGAGTGATAATAAAATACCCTTATCTAGAATATTTGAATCCATGTAGCTGCTAGAACAATATCTGAGATGCTAGTGCTGTGTATACCAAGGAAAGAAAGACTTTATAAATTGTTACACTAAGGATATCCTTTCGTCTTCAGACTCATTTAGAAATGGTTGGCTGAAGCCAGGTATGGTGGTACACGTCTTTAGTCCCCCTAGCACTTGGGAAGCAGCAGCGGGCAGATCTCCGTGAGTTCAAAGCCAGCCTGGTTTACATAGAAAGTTCCAAGACATCCATAGCTTTGTAGAGAGACTCTATCTCAAAACAACACAAAACAAGTCTAGCTGAAGACTTTGTGATTTGTAGTTTGGGGGGTGGGGAACCAACCAAACCTGGTTTCCTTTCCTCTCTTTCTCCACGTCTTGGACTAGCTGGTGGATTGTAGCAGTCTGGAGGTATAGTGCCAAAGCAGACACCCCAGATACATGCTGACAGTGCGACAGATAAGCCTTGTCATTTGTTTGTTTCTGCAGTGCTGGTGGTCAGACCTCAGGCCTTGCACATGCTAGGCAAACATGTTAGCATAACCTTAGTCCCTGTACCTCAGTATATATGGCAGTACTGAACGAGGTAGAGAAGTTTCTAGAAATCTCCAGGACCAATTTCTCACAACTTGCCCCATAAAATACACTTCAAATCTTTTCCTGGAAGGAAAAAGCTATGACAGCCACCTTCTCATTTGCTGAGGAATCTGGAAGTGAATGTCCAGAGCTCCTGATGTTTGACTGGTAACCTGGGAGTTTTCTCTTTGTTGCTATTTCCTTCCTGTCCCAGAGGCCCATGGCGTACAGATACCTATTTTTTTTTTTTAATATTAGCTGTCAACCTTTTCAGTTTGCATGTGGGGAAATCAAAGTAAAGAAGCTCAAGGGACCAAATTCCCAAAACTCACTCCTTCTGATAGAGAATTATATTCCTTCCCAGGTCTTTCCACAGACTTAGATCTGTGGGCTTGGTCTGGGAATTAATCTGGAGTCGAAGAAAGTCTGTGGTTTCACAGAGACATTGAAGGTCCTACTATATCCCAAAGGAGAAGTACAATAACCAATAGCTTAGCCTCTCAGTATGCAATGAATTGGCCAAAAATCAAACCAATGAACTCTTAGTTAACATTTGGGTATTATTTTACAGTGTTTCTCAAGTCTGCACGATATTAAGAGTCTTGCCGGTTATACTCCAAATCTATAGTTCTACTCTCTAGGCAGGGGTCCGGGAGTCAAAATGTTTGACAAGTGCCTTGGATAACTCTGATCAGTTTGGGGAAATGTTTTGGAGGAGATATTGCTATTAACTTCATTTTCACTGGAGGGCACTGGGGCTCTTAGGGGTTAGCTGGCACAAAGCACTGGAAAGATCTGTCTCTCAGTGTCCTTAGCCCAGAATATACATGATTAGTCATTTTTTTCCCTCATTTAAATTGAAAGTTAATTTCTGCGCCAGGGTAATATGGCCAAACAGTGTCCACAAAACAACCCTTTTGCTTTATCTTATTAGAGACAGAATTTAAAAATACGGATTGAGTTAGAATTTTTACAGGTGGTTAAATGAACATTGTTCACCCCTGGAAAGAATACTTGATATTTTGGCTCTAACATCTTTATGTTTTGTTTTTAGTTTATATTCTATATACAAGTAATATCATTATTGACAACAGGAATAAATTCACACATGATGCTTCGATCAGCCAAGACATTAGGTAAAGCATATATATTATTGAGCGGTTTATTGGGGAGAAAATGCAAATAGAGTATTAATGGAGGGTTGTGCAGACATTTCTTATGGACTAGAGGAATCGGCTTAGAAATGACTTATTTTCATTAGTGGATTGTATTTATGTAATTCATCAATTGCAATATTGGTTCATATAATTTAATAGAAACCGAGTGAATGGAGTCTTTAAAAAGACAGGTGTTTTCCTTTCTGCCAGTATGTCTAGAATAACAGGGTGATTCTGCTGTGCCGAGTTGTCCAGAGACCTGGGTTCCATTTCTTTTCCATTTCTCTATTCCCTAGGTTGCCTTTGTGCTTGCAGGGTAGAAATGGCTCATTACTGCAGTCTAACTAACACGAGAGAAACTGTTTGTGTTCACAGTCTGATCAACTAGCAATAATACATTGGGATGTGGGGACTGGAGGACATCTTTAAGGACAAACAGATAATTTCCATACACATTCCATAGGCTGAAGCTTAACTACCTGAGATACAGGAGAGACAGGAAATATTTTATTTTTTTCTGGCTGGCCATGTTTTTAGTCAAAAGTCAGGGATTCTATTGGCAAGAGGATGAAGAAGGGAATGGACATTGGGAGATACTTCCCAAGTTCTGCTATCGCTGCCCATCTCCAAAAGGAATTTGAATTCAAAGACAAAAATATATGTAGATACAATGAAGTCACAAATGGGAACATTTAATGACATCTGAGAGGAATTTGAAACTATTTATAATACAATTACTTGAGAACAATGAAATAACCAATAAACATATCCAGTAGAGAAGTAAAGTCAGATCATTGGTAGCAGTGGGGTTGAGGGGAGAAGTGGAAGCTGGGGTGGGTACTATGCTAAAGTCGTCTTCTTTTTTTTTTTAAATTTACAGGTTTGTGTGCTCTCTCCCTCCCAAGACAAATTGCTGTTCAAAATGCCATTCAACACATACAACAGATTATACGGAACACAATAACTTTATATAAGACAGAAAAAACTTTGACAAACGTTAACTGGGATGTAGTAGAAGAAAAAGCAGATATCGAATACAATCCTGTGAGTTGATATACACAATGATAGTCTTAATTTCCCTCTCTGGGTCTTCCTGTTTTTCTTGGACTCAATATTAAAAACATGGTTCTGGGGTTGGAGAGATAGCTCAATGGGTAGAGCGCTTGTCACGCCAGCATTGGAACCTGAGTTTGAGTCCCAGAACATACATAGAAAAGTCTAGTGTGATGACCTGCTCATAATAGCAGTGCTGGGGAGCCCCGGAGTTCACAGAACAGCCATCCTAGCCTAATCTGTGAGCTCCTGCTTCTAGTGATAGACTCTGTCTCAAATATTGAATGTCTAAAATTGTCAAAGAACAAATTTAATTAGTAAAAATCCCTTTGAAAAGTAAAACATAGAAAACAAAATCAAAGTAGCTATTCTGAGGTTGATCTCTGTCCTCCACACACATATGCACACATGTACAAACACACACACACACACACACACACACAAACCTACATCTGTATACATGCACATACACACAAACCAGATTCTACTACCTAAATGCTAGAAAATAGAGGGGAAATTTTATTAGCTTTGATGTTCTGGTGAAGCAACTTCTTTGAATCATGTCCCTAAAAAAAAGTCTTTGTGATCGGCCTTTCTATCAGATACAAGGAGAGTGGATGTTTGTTCAAAATGACTGGTTGCATTCCAAGCAATGACCTCTGCCAAGATGATGCTTCCAATAGGTTGAGATCCTGAGGGATCTCTCCCTGTGTATTATAAAAAGCAGAAAATACAGGCTGACATAGAGTGTTGTGAAGTATAGACAGAGGATAAATTGGCTTCTACATATCCCAAAGGAATATATCCTTCATGGCAATTGAAAACAATAGTCTCATATATATTGTGGTGGCTTGAAAGCAAATGTCCCCCCAAAGGGAGTGGCATTATTAGGAGGTGTGACATTGTTGGAGTGGGTGTGGTCTTACTGGAAGAAGTGTGTCACTGTGGAGGCAGGTGGTCTTTGAGGTCTCATATATGCTCAAGCCACACACAGTGTCTCAGTTCACTTCCAGTTGCCTGCAAGAGGTAGAATTCTCAGCTCCTTCTCCAGCACCATGTCTGCCATATGGGTATGCCATTATGATAATGGACGAAACCTCTAAAACTGCAAGCCACCTATTAAGTGTCTTCCTTTATAAGAGTTGCGGTGGTCATATTGTCTCTTCATAGTAATAGAAACCCTAACTAAGACACATATGGCAAAGCATTACCCCAGTTACACGTAGCTCATCACTGTAGCAATTCTGAGTGAGTTGCTAAAACCTTTGTTAAGTACAGTGTTTACCCTGTCTCAACCAGTTTTACTTATTTTTTTTTTTATCTTTGTCTCCTTAGATTTTAAAGCAGACTCACACTGTTCCAATTACCCATATTCTCCATGGTTCAGGAGAGGAATTCGCAACAGATGAAGTCTTAATAGAACAGGCCAGATTGCACGTAGCTATAATACAAATGGTTGGTATTATTCAAACAATATTAATTTTTTTGCCTTTAATCCTTATGATTTGGAGGTGATTATAAAACCGTTTTGTTTTCTGATATAGTCTATCAACTGTCAGAATTAGTGTTTGAGTTACGAAAATTTATTTATTTTTTTGGTGTGTGCGCGTGCGCGTGCGTGTGCGTGTGCGTGTGTGTGTGTGTGTGTGTGTGTGTGTGTGTGTGTGTGTGCACGTGTGTGAAGGCCAGAAGCTGATAATGAGTGTCTTTCTCAATTGCTCTCCACCTTATTTTTGGAGACAGTATATCTTACTGAACCCGGAGCTTGCTGATTTGGCTAGACTAACTGGCCAGCAAGTTCTAGGGATCCTTCTGTCTCCACTTCCCCACTGCTGGAAGTACAGGCTGGAGCTGAGCTGAACCTGACCTTTCACATGGATGCTGAGAACCCAAGCTCAGGTTACTATAGTTCATACTAAAAGTTGAACAAAACCAAGCCTTCCTTCCTCGGGCTTTGCAGTCAAGTCACAAACATTTCGTTTCTAAGACTAGTAAGTTTTAAGTGGCTAGTAAGTCACTTTATGGGCTCTTTAAATAGTTGAAAGGTTTTGTTTTGTTTTTTGAGACAAGGTCTCACTAGGTAGCCGAAGCTGATCTTGAACTTGTAATGCTTCCGTTTCAGCCTCCCAGGTGCTGGGATCACAGGTTTGTGTCACCACACTGTAGCATAAATCTTAAAAGGTCTTATTAATAAAATCAAACCTGAGGCCAGGTATTGGGGTAAACACTAAAAGATCAGAGAGACAGAACAAGCCACAGCCACCTCACCTCAGCTGATCCTGTTTCCTCAGACTGGAAGCCTCTGAGTCCTCACCCAAATAGATCTCAGCTGCACTGCTGCTCAAAAGCCTAAAAGCTTAACCAGCTCTAGTTCCTGGCCTCATGCCTTTTATACCTTTCTGCTTCCTGCCATCACTTCCTGGGATTAAAGGCTCTTGTTACCACGCCTGGCTGTTTCTAATGTGGCTTTGAACTCACAGAGATCCAGACAGATCTCTGCCTCTGGAATGCTAGGATTAAAGGTGTGTGTGCCACCATTTTCTGACCTCTATATCTAGTGGCTGTTCTGTTCTCTGACTCCAGATAAGTTTATTAGGGTGCACAATATTTTGGGGAACACAATATCACCACACCACACACAGCTGAAACTGCTTTGTGGGTATTTAATGCACTGAGTTTCTCTTAAATGAGATTCCCCGAGCTGCTTATTTAACATCTAGTAGTGTAATAAGTTGATTGTACCCATGGCATACCAAAGCTGACTACTGGGGTTAGTAATTATAGTGTGAGTTATGTAAGGACCAAGAAGCATATGGTGGGGGCTGGCAAGTCAGCTACTCAGTGGGTAAAGGCACTTGTCATCTTGCCCCAAGTCCTGAGTTCTATCCCTTAAATCCTCTTAGTGGAGGAAAGAACTAATGCCCACAAATTATCTTCTGACCTCCTTGTGCTCACACATACAATAAATAAATGTAAAAACAATGAAAAAAATTGTAAGAGAAGCATAAGTTATTTCTATGCTTTTTTCTTTTAAAGCAAGGTTTCACTGCAGCTCAGGTGGGCCTGGAACTCACAACAGTCCTCCTGTCTCTCAAGTGCTGGGGTTACAGGTGTGCGCCACAGGTCTCAGCCCTTCCATTGATGCTTTGGTCCTTTGTAATTTTTACTTAAAGATGAATGTATGTAGATATTTATAAGTATAAAATATTAAAACATAAAACCTGTTTTAGAGTAGCTTTGAAAAGCAATGTAACGATGGAATCCTTGGAGTAGAGGCAGCCCGAATATTAATTGGTGCAACCAAAAGCTACTGCCCCATCCATGGAAAGTAAGTGAGACACTTCTTTAATTGCATTTTTCCACATTAGATGATTATGTGACTATGAACAAAGTGAGCATTGTTCAATGTCTGGGTTAACCCATCTATCATCCCATCGGTCTACATCTATTTGTCCACCTATATATCCATTCATCTATCCAGTAACATTTCTTTCTTCTTCTCACTCCCCCTCCTTTTCCTTCCCTCCACCTTCCTACCTTTTCTCCCTTCCTCCCTCCTTTTATTCCTCTCTTCCTCCTTTTCTTTTGAATGCTGGGCCTTGAGCATGCTAAGTAAACTCTCCTCACTGTCTACATCCCTACCCCCATTTATCTACTTTGAATGCTCCTCTTCATTCTGCCTCCAGCCCTCGTGACTTTCATAACTTTGGAGATAATTAGGCTTAGGTAAGAGACAAGGGAATCCATGAATGAGAATCTATATAGCTTTAATGGCTCTTATAATTATTTTGCTTTTATATCATATTCTCTAAGTTATTGGAAAAAGTACAGCAGCCTGGATCTTGTTCAAAGACTGCTCTCCAGGGATGGAGAATGAGTTCTGGAAGAGTTGGCCTAAATAATGGTATTGCTAGATGCAATGCAGTGTGGTGGGAAAAGCCCAGTGTCTTAGAGATGTATCAATATCTTGTCACTGTTCTGGCAAGCATTACTGAGTGGATGATCTGAGACAAAGCTGAGTCAGCGGTAGCAATTCCAGCTAGGTGGTCATTAATGTTTCTGCAGTCTGGAAACCTCACTGGGAGACCTGTCATTGGCCTGGGAGATTACAGTTGGGAAAGCTGGGGCATTCAGTTGCCTTTAGTGTTGGGGGACATGAAACAGAGGAAGCTTAATTCCAGAACTCCTAAAAGGGCTGGTCTAGAGAAACTTGAATTAGGTTCTGTCTCAGGTCAGGAAGGGTTCTGGGAACAGGAGCACAGGAGTCTCAGACTAAAAATGTTACTAAAACATGACCACAGTGGACAGATGATTAAGTGCAGGAGGTAAAGGTTGAGAAAGCATATTCAGTAAGTCCACAGTAAATTAATATTTAGTATATCATCCCCCCTTCTATTGTCCTGAGATACTGTTTTTAACAACACATATGTGTATTTTTCTTAGATTCATGAGTATTTCTGATGTTTCAACTTATGTGAGAGATAGAAGTTGGCTTATAAAGTTTAAAAACATGTTAACTTACTTGGAATATCACAAAGAAAAGATACTTTTCAGTGTACCTGGGTAAGTATTATGAACCTCTAAGAGTGGTGTACTCAGAATATCACCATTTCAACATTTTTAGAGTAGGTCACCCCATTTAAACTAATTTTTGTGGCAGATGTTTACAGGTTAAGTGGTGACTGAACAGTGTGTTTGCCTCTTCTATTCTGCCTTAACTTCTCTGTCATCCTTATAAAAGGAAACGATGGCATTTTAGGGCTAGCTTATACCATGTTTCTTGCACTATTCATCTGGGTAGAGGACTGAGCAAGGGCCAGCCATACCTACAATGGGCTGAATCTAGCTCAGTGCAACTTTGTTTGTGGAATAAGATTGTTGTATCAATGTCTAAAATTAAGGAAAAATCAACGCTACCTTAAGAATGCCTATTACTGATTTTCTAAGATATTATAAAATATACATTTTGCTTAGAGTTTTTACTTTGCTATATAGACTGTGAACTTATATAATTTTTAGAGCAGGAAAATAACTTTTTTTTCCAACAGAGGATGTCAAAACAAGAACATACTGGGAATAGTTTTTGCTTTCTTCCATTGAATAAATTTAAAGAGAACATAAAAAAAATTAAACCCCTAGCATCCCAACATACATTCAGCAGCATTCTGTTTCTTTTCTCATTGCTGTGGGATCCTGGACATGAAGGAACTTAAGGGAGACTCATTTTGGCTTACAGTTTGAGGGTCATAGGCCATCATGGCAGAGGAAGGGTGACCCTGGGAGAGTAAGGCTGCTTGCTCAGATCTGGGCAGACCAGGAAGCAGTGAGAGGTGAATGTCTGTCTGTCTGTCTGTCTGTCTGTCTGTCTGTCTGTCTCTGTCTCTGTCTCTGTCTCTGTCTCTGTCTCTGTCTCTCTCTCTCTCTCTCTCTCTCTCTCTCTCTCTCTCTCTCTCTTTCCCTCCCTCCCTGTTCTGCAAGCCACAGTGCTGTGTGTTTATGATTCCAACAACCATGTCATATCCAGAAGATAGCTCTGCACCACATTCTTCTCCATCCTTTGGTTCCTACAATCGTTGTACCTCTCTTCCAAGATATTCCCTGAGCCTCAGAGGAGGTGACATAAATATTCCATTTGAGGCCAAGCACTCAGCAGTGCCTTATTCTCATCATTTTGGCTAGTCACAAATCCCACTTGGACTGTGGCCCACTGTAAAAGATGCCCCTCTGATGGAGGCTGACAGCTGTTGGAGTCTTTGGGTATTCACATATATATTTTGGAAGGCAATTTAACTACATGTCCATTTGACAAAAAATCAGCTGCAGGTCCACTGTAAGGAATGCAAACTCCCTAGCCATGGGCTTTCAGCCAGATCTATAGTGGCAGGCATATATTCCTTCCAGGGGAGTGAGCCTCAAATCTAATCAAGATGTGGTTGTTTCTCTCAGAGCATCCATGCCAATATTGAACCAGTGGGCATGTCATGCCAGGCATTTCAGCACAGAAACTCTCAAGGTCTACAGCTGCATGTGACTGTTGATGCCTTTTCTCTGTTGACAGCCTACATAGCACCTTCCATCACTATGAATGTGAACCAGCAGGGAGAAAGCTTCTAGCTCAGTTTCAGCCTCATTTCTCTGTGTTCTTTATCCAGAGTGTGTGTTGTCTTCAGCAATAAGGACTTAGAATATCTAGTTCTAGTAGTTAAGCAAGAACAATGCCAACAGCCTGTGTTGTTTTGGAAGCCTCTGAGAGCTACCGAGGCAATAAGTCAGAAGGACGGAATTCCATGTCCAAGGTGTTTCTTAATTCATTCAAGTAGGCCAAGTAAATAGCCTCTTCTGTGTAGCTCTATTTCCGGGGGGTTAGAAAGTTTCAAAAAAATGAATATGGTAATTGTTGAACATTTTGCCCATTTAAAAATTTTAAACAATGCTGATGAGTAGCACATTTTCCTCTACATTTATTGTTTCTTGCTTTTGATTTATTATATACATTAATAGCATCATCCTTTTGTCTTCTATTATATTCTCTCTATAAAATATGCTAGTTATTATTATCAATAGTAGTAGTATTGTTTTTTGGAGATAGAGTTTCTCCGTGTAGCCCTGGCTGTCCTGGAACTCACTCTGTAGACCAGACTAGCCTCAAACTCAGTGATCCGCCTGCCTCTCCCTCCTGAGTGCTGGGACTAAAGGCATGTGCCACCATGCCTGTCTGTATGCTTGTTATTTTTACTTATATATTTCATATTATTTCTAGTTTGATTTGTTTAGACAGATATTGGACTTCACTGCTTATTTGTTATACCTTAAATGACCTGATATTTTATTTGCTCTTATTTTTTTCAGGGATAATAGTTTTCTGATTTTTGTCTATCGCACTATAATTTCAGAAGAATTTGAATATGCTACATATGTTGTAACAGTAATGTATATTTTCCCTATGATAATACATATATGGCCAACTGCAAGAGAGTTAAATGTATCGGCACTGATATCTATAAACTACTATTTTATGTTTTTATATACATTAGAATCAGCACTGAAGGTACTGTGGAAACTAGAAATATGTTGTACAAAAAAGAATAATTCAAATATTTTGAATCCATTTTTTCTACCTTATTGTCAAAATAACTTGATAACTAGAAGTTATTTGTTATGACAGCTGATGGATCCTGGGATGTTCACAGCCTTAGTGCCAGTCTTGGCCATCAGCTATGTCTAATAAAAGTAGAGAGACTCCCAAGGATTAGGTGATAGAAAACTGGTATTTCAGTCATATACACTCCCTTCAGATTCTTCCTGAAATAATTTAGGGAAAGAATAAACAAATACAAAAGAATTGGCTTGAGAGCCACATACCTGGACAGGTGGCTCAGTGATAGTAGTTTATCATGCTTCATTATTAATAGTATTGCAGCAAACTTGTCTACTGCTTCTAAAATTATTGTTTTGGTATTGCATTTCATTATAGATACTATATTTTGAGTCACATTAAACATTTTAGTGTGGAAAATTAAGAATTTAGGGGAATTTCAAACAAGTAGCTAAAAATTCAGCTTTTAGAATACAACTAATAGGACTGAGAGATGGCTCAGTGCTTAAGAATGGGAACTGATCTTGTAGAGGGTCTGAGTTTAGTTCCCAGTATCCACATTGAGTGACCCACAATTAACCATTGTAGGTGGAGTTTTTCTGTCCCGTCGGTCAGCTATGTCCCATCAGCTAGCTCCCAAATAACCACACAGAGACTTAATATTAATTATAAATGCTTGGTCGATAGCTTAGGCTTGCTTTTTAGCTAGCTCTTATAACTTAAACTAACCCATTTCTATTTATCTGTGTGCTGCCCCAGGCTTGTTTACATCATGTATGTACTTCCCATCCTGCTCGCTCTGAGTCTCATGATGTCTCTTCAGATACCATCCTTCTTCTCCCCAGCATTCTCTCTGCCCCACAAATCCTGCCTAGCTATCAGTCAATCAGCTTTTTATTAAAAATGAGAGCCAATATATCTTCATAGTTGTACAGAAGTATTATTCCACAGCAACCCATAACTGTAATTCCAGATCCAGGGTATCAGATGCTCTTTTCTGGACTCCATGGGCACCTGCACATAGGTGGTGTACATAAATATACACTCAGGTGAATATATGCATACACATAAAATAAAAAATCTAGGATACAACTCATTTCTTATGATTGACTTGCAATTTTAAATATTTCCCTCTCCCCTATGTCAATATATAGTTGTTATGGAGTAACATATATTCTGTTTGTTTTTTTAAACAGATACTAATATTAAAAAGGAAATATTTTCTTCATAATTGGAATAATTTGGATTTTTTCATCATAGTTATCGGAATCGTTGATATATTATGCCTGCACTTTGTCAAGCTGAAACCAAACAACTTGGTTCTCATCCAGTTTACAGTGGTAATAGGATATTTTAGAATAATTAGGTTTCTTCCTATCTTCAAGGTAAGGCTTCCTACGTTAAAATACTGGTTTGCTGCATGATTTACTAAGTGATTCAATAAGCTTCACTCTTGTGAGAGAAATGAGAGAAGGAGCTGTCTCTTCCAGAATGTTCTTCAAACAAACACCCGCTTGGTTGGCTGTCATTGCTTACACCCTGCCTTCACAGAGGTTTTCCAATCACACCAGACAAAAGCAGAAACCTGGGCTCTATACCCTTAGCTTTATACCCCATTCTTTGTTCCTCTTCCATCTGCCTAGTTTTTATTTTCCTTCTATTTATTAGTGCTACAAATTCAGTGTTCATGAGAATTGCTATGCAGAGTTGTATATGCAAAACCCACTTAAAGGAGTAATTGTGATTCTATTGTATTTGCCTTATGAGTTGAGATATGAGCTAAGAGCTCATGTAAGGTGTAACTACATAACACTGGAAATCAAGACGTATAATGAGGCTAAGACATAGCCTGGAAGAACTTTCTCTAGACAGTTTTTATGCAGATATCTTGTGCACATAGATGCAAGATAATTATTTTTTTGAGACAGGATTTCTCTGTGTAGCCCTGGCTGTCCTGGAACTCGCTCTGTAGACCAGACTGGCCTCAAACTCAGAAATTCCCTGCTTCTGCCTCCCAAGTGCTGAGATTAAAGGCATGTGCCATCACTGCCTGGAACAAGATAATCATTTTAGACATATTACTCTATGAAAAATATTAAAGATGAAATACATTTTTAAAGATGTATTTTTGTGTAAGCCAAGTTGTTGTGTGACTTTTGGGGAATAGATGTGAAAAAAACTGCCTGTACATTTCAGATGGGGAAATCAATGAAAGGCCGAAGTAGGGATTTCAAGTCCATCTTTGTAAACCTATGAGTTTATTGGGTTTATTTAATAGGAGTATGGGTGAGGGGTTACTTACAGAGGTGACTCAGAGTTGACAGGTCAGTTTCCTTTTCCCCATAGTCCTCACCATTCTATAATTTTGGGAAGAGGCCTTGTGAGCCTTGTAAGTTTCAGGGACTTTCTGATACTTGTGTGTGGTTTATTTCCTGAGTCTTAAGGAGCCTTCCTCCAGAATTGAATGTTCCAATTTAGAGGGGATTGTTAAACAAATACAAATCTATTGAGAGTGTGCCTAGCAATTCTCAATCAGTTAGCAGCCCTTCTGTCTTGTACTGCCTGAACAAAATCATAATAAAGTATATTTAAGAAATCAATATTATTATATAGTTGGGTTTTTAAATTGAACACTTACTTTTTTCCAGGAACTGGGGGAAGTACTTTATATAACTTACCCAGTTAAATTCTTATAATAGCCTTCTGAGGTAGGTGTAACTTCTACATAAATTTAAGTGCCCTAAAAGTTAGACTCAGCCCAATATGACTTTGAAAAGAAACATATCTGCCTCAGTGAAGGTTGGGAGAATACTGGAGATCTTTATTTTAGTTGCCCTAGGAGTCAGTGGTCAGCTCAGGGTTATCAGTGCAGCATGGAGGAAGGCTTTGAAAACATTTTCTTTAAACAAGATCCTCCCTACCTCCAAGTTCACAATCAAAATGGCAGCTAATAAAATCTTTCTCTGTTCTTTTAATTCCTGCGCTATGGTACTGTTTTCTTTTTACTTTCTCCTCTCCTGATATTGAGTCTCGCACCAAATGCCCCTGTGCTCTGACTCAGCATGGACTCCATGGGAAGCCCCTTGCTGTGTGATTGACAGTTGGCTTTGGAGCAGTGGCTCCATTGGCCTTCCAGGCCTTACGTATTAGACTCATTTTGTTCAGGAGGAAAGGGAATCCTCAGAGTCACGGGTAGCTTGCTGAAGGTCACAGAGATGGCGACTGGAGAGATAGTATAAGAGATCTCATTCTCTTAAGTCCCTGCACCAGCTGGCCTCAGCGTAAAAGTAGAGAAATGTAGAACAAGAATGGAAGGTGGCCTGCATGGTTCAGAGATAGAGTTTATTCTTCCAAGCTGTTGCTCGGCTTCCTGGGCCACCACTTTTGTTTTCTGAAGTTGAAGAGGGACAGGGGCATGCTAGAGACTCCACCTAAAGCTACAGTCAATTTTGCACAAAGGGAGTGGTCACAACCCCATGTGTGTGTGGATGTAGGCAGAGGCCTTTTGGAAACAGGCCCTGCTGGACCACATACCACAGTGTCTGACATTATACTTCTGGACAGGACCAAAGGCTGCATTTCTAGAAAGTTCTTGGACATGCTTTTGCTGGCCTACAGATGACATTTTGAGAACCTCTGCTGGGGAGGGTGTTTTCCTCATGATTTTTTTTTTTTTAGTTAAAAAATTGAATTAGCATACAGTATTAGATTTCACTATGGGATTTTCAAATAAAATTATATTTTTATTAATTCTCCTCCCTCCTTTCCCACCCCGCTTCCCCTTTTTGTATGCCCCAGTCTCTTTTCCACTTTCCTGTCCCATGTGTTCTGTTGTTTTCTCTGCCTTGCTTAAAGCCTTTAATTCCCTCCCGTGGTCTTCTTCCTGGTTGCACAGCCTGTACCCACACTCGCCTCTGCTTACACACATGCACATAACCATGGTAAACTAGATCCTCATGTGAGGTAAATACTTAATTAAATGTATATTTTTCCCTCCACCCTGCTACTCCAGATTATAATACCAATACTAATAAACATGACAGACGTACAGATCAAAAAGAGCCTCAGCTTGATGTACAGTATCACAAAAGGCTATGTCAAAAGTCAAGAAGATGCCAAACTTTTGATAAGGCAAATTTCTGGTCGTGAATCGGTCTATCAGGTGAGAAACAGGCATTGGATGGTGTGGATGGGAATTACCTTACTTAGGTGTATTCATATCCCTAAGATCAGCTTGTTATGTGTGTGACCAACAGACAAATTTCAGTAGGTAAACAGGTTCAAGTGTTTGTTATACAAGGTGCTTCAGAGAACAGTCTAAACTTTTTATTTGTGTGTGTGTGTGTGTGTATGTGGGTGTATGGTTGTGTGTGTATATGCACTTGGGTGTGCTGTGTGAGACCCTATCTCAAACAAAATAAGACACAACAAGCAAAAGCAGTAATAATAATGATGATGATGATGATGATGATGATAATAACCCACCAAAGAGAGAATTGAAAATGCTAAAGAAAGTCAAGTGTGACCCGGGCACTCATGGAGCCTCAGGGTGGAGTTTGTAGTTGTGGAGTCACGGGTGTAAAAGCTGAAGGAGTCGAAGACAAGTCAGTCCCTGGTCCAAGAAGAGCTGTCACATCAAGGTCCACTGTTTGCCTCCGCTTGCTCGTCCCCCCCCCCCCGTCCGTCCGTCCCCCCCCCCCCCCCCCCCCCGTCCGTCCGTCCCCCCCCCCCCCCTCCCGGTCAGACCGCCCCTGTTAAACATGATGCTCAGCACAGTCATTTCAATCACACACATGGGTGGTTCATAGGTTTTCTCACAACTTTCAGCTTTTGTCCCCCTTTGCCATGAGGAGGTTTTAGCGTGACTTTGCAAGTTTTCAGCCGGCCCTCTGCTGTGTTCCTTCTCCTCATTTGCAGACCCATTAAACCAGTGGTTTAAATTTTTTTGACAGTCACTATGATTACTTCTTTTTCCGAGCACTAGTTTCTTAAAAAAAAAAAAAAAATTAATAGAGTCTCTCGAATCTCTTATTTTAAAAGTTTCTGTTTCCTGCACCACTTCTGCTTCCTCGAAGTCCCATTTCAAAAGTGGGAAGATTGCTCTAGGTCATGCTGGGCTATGCAGTGAGTTCTAGGTTGGCCAAGGCTACACAACGAGACCCCCCCCCCCCCCCCCCCCCCCCCCGCCACAGCCCTCTCCACACAAAAAACAAACAAAACAGAGAGCATGGAGAAGTTCATAGCAGAAAAGACTCCAGAAGGAGGAAGATGAGGGAAGTCAACCATGAGCCAGGGAGGGAGCTGAGGATGTTTTGAGACATTTAGGAGACAGCAGAGGGGTCTGGAGGCAGTTGCCTTGATAGCTATGGTATAAAACAAACCTCCAATGTTTAAATAGGGGAACTTCAGGGAGCTGGAGAGATGACCCTGTGATTAAGAGCGCTCACTGTTCTTCCAGAGGATCTGGGTCCAGTTCTCAGCACCCACATAACACCTCACAGTCATTTTTAAGTCCAGTTCCAGGGGATTTGGTGCTCAGGTACCAGGCACTCATGGTGCAGATATAAATTCAGACAAAACACCCCTACACATTAAAGAAAATAAAAATTAAGAAACAGAGGACTTCAGTGGCTTTTTGTGATGTGTATTAGGTAGATGCTTCTGAAGTGACTCGATGTTTCTGGAAACTAGCCTATGGCAGTTTACCTGCAGAGAGGTAACAAACATTGCCTCTCTGGTAGTGATGTCTTTGCAGGCAGGAGTTACTGTTGCCCAGAATCTCAGTGTGAATATAAATTCAGTTCTGCAAGAAGGAGGCTTAGCACAAGGCAAACAAGGCTGGACATGAGTGTGTTAGGGACATACAAAGTCTCATTTGTATAGTCAAAGCAAGGGACTTACTAGGTGTAATTTTTAAAAGCCCAAACAGAGGGAAAAAACAAAAGTTTTGTTTTGCTTAAGCTTCAGATAACAAATCCATTGTTCTCTATAAGTGTGGCATGCAGTGTCTGAGTGCATTGCAGGTACTTGTATGTGACAACCCAGGGGACTGTGCATTGTTGCCTCCAGGTTGTTGCTATGGCTAAGAATGTGCTCCAGAAAGACTGACAGCCAGAGTGAGCTTTAGGAGGAGCAGTGCCTGGTACACAGCGAGCATCCCACAGTACCTGTTGTGTGATTGAAAAAAACAGTCACACCACCCATTTGCCGGTGTGGAGTTCCTTCTTCAACTCTTTAAGGAGTGGCCTTCGGGGAGCATGAACTCACTTACACAGCATGTTTACATCATCCCACTGGTTTTTGTGCTCTTGGCAAAGTAGATCCTCAAATAGCTGTTCCCTTGGTGTATCTTCAAATTGGTGTCTGCCAATGAGAATTCTTAATTGTGCACAGTGTAGTGTAGAGAACTTTTCCTCCCTCCCTCCCTCCCTCCCTCCCTCCCTCCCTCCCTCTCTTTCTTTTTTCTTTTTCCCTTCCTTCCTTCCTTCCTTCCTTCCTTCCTTCCTTCCTTCCTTCCTTCTTTTGAACTAATGATAGTTACAGTGAAGCATGGTACTTATGCAAAACATCAGCCCTGCAACATTCACTGCAATCTGAGTCCAGGCCTGGGGAATGCAATGGAACTCTCTGGAAGACAAAAGCTCCCCTAAATCAAACTGAGTGAAAATTCCTCTGTGATGCTTCTTTAACTTTTACTCAGGTGATAAAGTCAGGATTGTACTTGGTGTAATAAGAACCATTTCTTATTATTTCTTCTTCTTCTTCTTCTTCTTATTATTATTATCTCTTACAGAAACTATATGACATTTTAGAAAAAAACAAGCGAGAGGCCATTAAAGAGCTAGGTGAGTGGTTGGAGCATTTGCTTTCCTGATTTCGTGTAATCTATAGATTTTATTTCTTTGTGCTTCTGAAGGCCAGAATCTCAGATGATGGTGCTGTCAAGGTTGGTTTCTGGTGAAGACTGGCTTCTTGTGGGGGGTAAACATGGGAGCCTTATTGCTGTGGCCCCATTTGACCTTTTCTGTGTGTGCAGAAGGACTCTGGTGCCCAATTTCCCTAGTGAGATCCCATCCTTACAAGGTAGGGACTCTACTCTTATGACATCATTTAAGCCCCATCACCTCTGTAGAGGCCCTTCTTCTAAATATGGCATTACAGGGGGTGAAGTCTTGCACTGCATGTTCTCATTCATTCATCTATCCAACTGGCATTTACTGACCATATCTAATGTCCAAAGATGGGAAAGCAATATTGGGTAGATGCAGATTCTTCAAAAAATGTGCATTCTGGTGGACTGTCTGAGCATGCAAAAGGACATCCCTGCAGAATGTCAGAGAGACCCTGGCATCTGCTGTGGCAGCGTAGGGAAAGGGTGGGAGCAGGAGTGTCTGTTCAGATGGCAAGGTCAGGGTCCTCAAGGATTTTAGGGAAAGCCACATGATGATGACCTTTGACAAGACGTTGTTTTGCTTAGTGTGGTTAGCTTGCCTGAGATCACGTGACTAATAAGTCGGCACTCACTTCTCTAGCTCTGGTGGATCTGGTGCTAAAACCAATGCTCTAGATCGTGGCTATCCTTTATTTTACTGGTCAATTCATTTTAATGAAAAAAGTGTATAAGTACCTTCCATACATACATCAGACATTGTGCTCAATGTAAAGATGACACATGAAATGTTAATTTTGGCCAAGAGTCTAGTCCTTGACTTCTCATGTTTATTAAAAGAGAATGAGTATTCCACTTGAGCTCACAAGACCCATCCACCTAACTCTGGATGCTCTTTTGAATGAAAGTGTTTTAGTCATCCAACCAACAAAAAATATATAGAGGATAGGCAGAGACATTAAAACAATACTTGAGTGAAACAAGTTTTGGCATAGAAATGGGTAGGAGATACCATGGAGATAGGACAGAGAGTTGTTTAGTTGTGTGGGAAGCTAGTTTTCATCCATATGATGGGGATGCGAATTCACCCTACCAGCCTCAGGAGTTCTGTGTGAAGCTAGAATGAAAGGCTATTGTATCAATACCTTGAACATTCTAATACAATACTAGCTGTTATTGTGGTTGTTGCATAGATTGCTTACCACATCTAATTTTTCTCAGGACTCATAGAGCACGAAGGCCGTGATGTTGTCATTGCTCTGAAGACAAAGCAGGCAATCCGCAATGTGATTGCTAAAGCCCTGAAAAACCTCACCTTCCTCTGGTCAAGAGGCATCATTGATAAGCACGAGGGCATTGAGATGAATAAGGTAGTAACACATCATTGATAGGTATGAGGGCACTGAGATGAGTAAGGTAGTAACACATCATTGATAAGCACAAGGGCGTTGAGATGAATAAGGTAGTACACACATCATTGATAGGCATGAGGGCACTGAGATGAATAAGGTAGTAACACATCATTGATAGGCATGAGGGCACTGAGATGAATAAGGTAGTATACATATCATTGATAGGCATGAGGGCATTGAGATGAGTAAGGTAGTACACATCATTGATAGGCATGAGGGCACTGAGATGAATAAGGTCGTAACACATCATTGATAGGCATGAGGGCACTGAGATGAGTAAGGTAGTAACATGGTTCCCACTGTGTTTGGTTCCATAAGCTCAGGCATCCCAGGATGTAATGAGAGAATTTTATGAGGAAGCGTTTAACCACAAGAGCTACCTTGATACTTCCTGGCAACATTTTTAATGCCTGTGGCATTCAAAGCCAGTGCTGCCTGGCATGTCCTGCAGTTGGAAAAACTTGGCTGCAAGTGACTGAAGCCATCTGTAGCTAAATCCATTGAAGAAGCAGGCTTGGAGACTTAGTGAAAAGGACTCCGAGGACTTGTAGTCTGTGTGGCCAGGCTTCAGGAAGGGACTTGAAGAAAGACTTAGAAAACTTTCCAGATTCCTTACTTCTTGTCAGGATTGTCTCTGAAATCTTCCTCTGGCTTGTTCTCTAGCCTCAGTAGATTGATCTATCTATCTATCTATCTATCTATCTATCTATCTATCTATCTATCTATCTATCTATCTATCTATCTATTTCTGCTTCTCCATTTACTGGTGGATTTTGTACTGCATCATTCCATTGACTGGGGCATCCACAGAGACAGTAACAGTATTTGAAGGGGAACAACTGTGTGTGTGTGTGTAAGACAGGGTAGGATGTAATAATTGGATTATAAAGATGACAAGTTGATCTGAGTTAATAAGTGAAAATAAGAGGAAGAAAACAGTGACAGAAAGATTATAATACACATGGCAGCAGGGGTGGGGAGCTGTGATTCTAAGCTCAAGTTAAGTCTGCACAACAGAAATGTGCTTCGATTTCCTTGGTTTCAACTTCACGTCCATTTTTTTTTGTCACAGAAACAATTACCATAATTTCGAATTTTCATTTTTAGGTTCTTCTTACAAAAATCAAAGCCTTGAATAACTTTCCCATGGCAATTCCGCCTCCAACCCCTGACAAATACCTACCCAACATCGTTTGGTTGGAAAATAAGGATGTCCTCATTGAGTTCTTCAAGGTAATAATGTCTTCTGTTCTGACTCAGGCCTGATGTAAACATTTCCCCCTGCCCCAACTAACGACTAAAGAAAAGCATATCAAAAGCATAACTTCAATTAAATGAAGCCTTTATTTATTTATTTGAAGACATCAGGAACCTAATTTAAGCAAGGAGAAAATGTTCTGAAGAATTTTGGTTGCTTTCACAAGTGAAGAGCCATTTGGGTATCTTAGCTTGGTTTGCTATAGCAAAGCGCCGCAGACCAAGTGGCTTTCAAACAACAGAAACTTACTTCTCACAGTTCTGGAATTGGGGAAATCCAAAATCAGGGCATGATCAGATATGGTTTCTGGTGAGAGTCTCCATCTGGTTCATTACATGACTGTCTTCTCATTGTCTCCATCTGACAGAAAGAGCAAGAGAGCTCTATGGTGCTTCTTTCATAAAGGCACTAAACCTGAGCGTGAGGACTTCACCTTTATGACCTAAGCATGCCCTGAAGGTTCTACCTCCTAAAACCCTTACTCTGGGACCTGGGATTTCAACATATGCATTCTAGGAGGACACAAACATTAAGTCTATAACATTAGCCAACCTTGGGCAGGGTGCAAAGGCCTAACAGGAATCTTGGACATTTTATAGTGCAACATTTTATAGGTACAGCAATTGTGTCTCAAATCCTAGGTTCTCTGCTTCAGGTCAGACTCTGTTCCTGCCTGAGACGAGCAGAATCTCTTGCAGCTATCTCAACTGTATACACTGTGTTTGCATCTAGGTCTTTTCATATCTATCTGCTATCTGCTGCTCTTCTTTCGGGACTCAGCTTAGCTATCCCTATCTTGCTAGTGAGGGTATCACAAACAACTGGGAAAAGACCCTGTGACCTTTCTTCACTGTCCCCAAGTGCCATGTTCCTGTCTGCTTTGCCACAACCATCATACTTTATTGACAACACCTTCCCCACCTAACTAAAAACCTTCTGTGGCCAAGAAGTTGATTTCCAGGCTTGACATTTATAGCCCAAGCCCCAGTGAGGGCTAAGCACTTCCTTAATTGTTATTTTGCTCAATCATCCCCTAAACATTTACTGGGTGCTAGCATTCTTTGCTGTGTTAAGTACTGATCACAAAGTCTTTGCTTGTTTGCCTGTATTTTTATTTCTTAAGATTGATGTGATACGTGTATATACTATAACAACCCCAGGGTATGTTTTCCATTTTTATGCTACTTGATAACTATTTTTAATTTTAAAACCTTATTTCTGTTTAGACAAGTGGTCTATAAAATTTTAAGATTGACTTCTCCAACCTATTTTATTTTTTCATTCAGAGAAGAACTAGACTCACCTATTTCGACTACGGTGATATCATCTGTAGAGAAGGTGAAATGTCACAAGGAATCTTCTTAATTATTTCAGGAATGGCTAGTGTAAGAACGACTAATTTTCTTTATTTAAAATGCATTTTGAATATACAGTTGCAACTTAGGGGTAAGTTCTGGAGCTGAAAAGTTTGAAATTGTTAGTCTCTTCCACATGAAACCGTTTCCGAGGGGAGTGAGTGTGACAACCGAGACAGAATCTTCACACTCAATACTCGAATGTGCTTCCCATTTTACCAAGTGCACTCAGAGTTGTCAATTTACTCTTCACAACAAAGCTGGAGGAATTAGTGGTTCGAGGATGTTCAGACATGGAAACTAGTAAGTACTTGGACTCATTCACCTAACTGAGAGTTCAGGCATAAGCTTGGCTGCAGTCCAGAGTCTCACAGAGGTCAAGTTGGATGAAATAAAACTTTTCAGTTGATCAATGAGGAGACTTTTGTTTGAGGAGAGAGAGAGAGAGAGAGAGAGAGAGAGAGAGAGAGAGAGAATATGAAAACCCTGCCTCTTCCTTCATACTGATACCTTAGTAGCTGGCTACAGTGGTCAGTGTGGCTTATACACTGATCAATTCCTAGTTCCCAGTTGATGCTCTTATGTGACAAACCTTTGTCCTAGGGAAAAGAATATAGTTAGCTTCCTCATTTTAAAATGAGTATTTCAGACCTTTCACTCTGATGAAAATAAACTGCTGTGACAAAAAATAATATGAAGAAAATGTAATCCCAAAATCTGATTCTAGGCAGTTTCATCCATTGGTTAAACAGATATTTACTTTGTTACTATCATGAGCAAACTCTGGTCATTCTAGGTATAGGATTGAAAAAACTGACAAAAATCTCTGCTCATTTGGAACTCATTTTCCAGTGGAAGGATAAAAGGAGAGGACAGAATGTATGAAATAAGTTAAATGTATACACATTCAGTATTGTAAAAGAGGGGTCCTAGGAATTAGGATTTCTCTAGGAAAATTTCACGCTGGGAATGAAGACATCCTACCTATAGGACCTCTGATGCAAAGAGTGAACAAACTCATCATTGCTTGCTGATGTTCAACCACCTTTTTTCACTCTTGTGTGGTTCAGGGTTCTGCCTAGGGAATGGTGCTACCCACAGTGGCTGGGTCAATAAACAATCCCTCACTGACATGTGCACAGATGAGCCTGGTTTAGATAACTCCTCAACTGAGACTCGTCTCAGGTGATTCTAGGTTATGAGAAGTTGACAGGCTTTGTGTGTGTGTGTGTGTGTGTGTGTGTGTGTGTGTGTGTGTGTGTTTCTGGTAACAAAACTAGCGGCCATTAAGGGACAGTAGCTTGAGTCTTTTGGATATGGCACTCCCAGAATCTTACCAGTGGCTATCTGGCCTTGAGAAATTTGTTTCTTTTGTTTTTTTGAGATAGAGTTTCTATGTATAGAGCTGGTAGTCCTGAACTCACTCTGTAGACCAGACTTGACTTGAACCCAGAGAGCCACCTGTTTTTGCCTCCCGAGTGCTGGGATTATAGGAATGTGCCCCCATTCTCTCTCTCTCCCTTATCTCCCTCTCTTGCCCTTCACAGTGTTAGTGTCTCTCACTGCCTATGAAGAAAACAACATAGCATAAAGAATGGGAACATTAATTTGTTTACAGCTTTGTCCATAACTGGGGAGAGGAAAATTCTCAATCTGTCTGGGCATTTCTCATAAAAATTTACAGAATATAAAGAAAAACCAGGAAATATACATGATGGAATTTTTTTTCCCTGGGAAATGAGTCTTTCTTCTGACATCAGGAATTCTGTGGGTGGCACATCCTTATTCTCAGCATGAAAATCCCAATTTCTAGCTCCCTGTTACAGTCATCAGAGTGTCCTTCTGATGTTTGGAATCAGATTTTGGCATATTTATAATGAGATCTCTGGAGTAATATTCAAGTCCAAACATTAAATTCATTTTTGTTTCTTGTATACCTTCTATATACCTTAAAGGCACTTTTATACAGTATTTTTATTGTGCCTACATTTTGACTGTGATCCATTATATAAGATCAAGTGTAGAATTTTCCATCAGTGGTGTTATTTCAGCCCTCAGAAATTTTCATATTTTGAAGCATTTTGCATTTCAGCTAACTTAGACTAGTGCTCTCCAACCAGTAGTATGTTAAAAAGTGATGCATATAGGAAGAGGTTTATTTTAATTTTCATAAAAGTAGTCAAGAAAGGCAATATGTTTTGTTATTTAATCCTTATAAGAATCTTTTTTCTTTTTGTTTGTTTTTGTTTTGCTTTTCAGTGCTAAGGGCCGAACTTGAGGTCTCAAGCGTGGTAGGCAAGTGCTACATCCCTAGCCCAACAACTTTCATCTTTGTTTGAGGAAAACCTTTGCCTTGAGATGTTGAAATACAAAATAAACCATGACTTTTGTGGAAGTCAGTTCTTCCCTTCATTCTTGACACATCTCATTAAAGAATCTTTGACTTGCTCTAGAACAATTGTAAGAAAGAGTGGAAACCATTGGTATACTCTAAGAACTTAACGTTTTTATTTCCCTTTTCATAACCTCGCCCCAACAGTTGCATAGCTCATCTCCCACCTTTGGGATAGAAGCAAGCCAGAGGACTGGCAGACACTTCAAGACTATGTACACAGAGTACTGTACCAGTGGGGATGTACTTGGTGAACTAAGCTGTTTGCTTAAGCGCGAAGTTGATTATACTGCCATCTGTGAAACTACTTTGCAGGTACAAAATAGTTCGGTTGTAGGTTATTAGTTAATCCTTGATAAGGAATCTTTTCTTTGGCTGGGGTCTGATATTTTATTTGATCACTTGATCAGTTAATGCCAGCAGTATAGAATAGCTCAGAGTAGACGGGCTAAATCTCTCACATATGAGGCTCTGCTGAGCTCTGCTGCATCTTGCCTGGGTGAGTTATTTAACCTCATTGAGTCTTGATTTCTGTATTAGTCAAGTAGAGAGGATGCCTGTCCTCTGATGTTATGGAGATTAGAAACTTGTCTGTAGTGTTATGCTATGCAAATTGTCACTATTCTGAAAGCAGCATTCTGAAAGAATAGTCATTTGTTTTCAAACTCCCATTCTTTTGTTTACACTTGCCAAGTAATAGGTAATTTGTTCAACCAATAAGTGACCTAAAATCCCATTTGGTGTGGACAATCCCATTAAAAGAATCTAAAATTCCTATTACAATTGTTCTCAATTTTTGAGGCTGATAGAAGGAACAGAATCTTAGGGGATGTAGAGCAGCAGAAAGAAATGGTGCTTCATCAGACTATACCATGTTGTTTCCGGAAGAGGAGAGAAGGGGTGTATTTAGTCATAGTCTGAATGAACTCATGGCAATTCATTTATCTTGAATCTGACAGAGTACAAGGAGTTTGCCTCTGGAAAGGGGCACTGTAAGTAGGGAGCACTGTGGATTAACTGCTGTGAGAGCTCAGGTCCTGAATCTCAGGCTCATGAGCCAAAATTTCAACGTAACTGTTGAGCGATGAATATCAGGGTATATATATATATATATACACATTTTTTAAAGATTTGTTTTTTATTTTTAGTTATGTGTAAGTGTGTACATGTGTGCATGTAGATATGTATATGTGAGTACAGGTGCCAGTAGAGGCCAGAGGCATGGGATCCCCAGGAGCTGGAGTTACAGATGATTGTGAGCCACCTGACGTGGGTGCTGCGACCCAAATCTTGAGAAAAGCTAGTGCTCTTAACTGCTGAGCCATCTCTACAGCCCCTCTGGGCTACTTTTAAAGAGTATATCTTTCCCTGGACCACACATTTTATCATCTTATATACTCTTTTCACAATGCTAATTCTTTTAAATATTAGAGTATCATATTGGTGCTAGAGTCTCATAGATTTGGTTGTTGGGTGTCTGAGATGATGGTGACTATCTTGTTTAATGACCAATTATAATTTAGATGTCTGTGTCCTGGTACCTTGTTATTTTAGGCCTTCTTCATCCCCCTGGAGGATATATATGAAGGTTTTGATGTCTTCTGGCCATCTCTGGAATATAAAATATGGCTCAAGCTTGCTCTTAATATTGTGAATCAGTATTTTGAACAAAATGTTGCTGGTGAGGTAAGTTATATGAAAAAATATAAATATATTTGTAGGTACTAAATTTTTTTAATAAAGTGCATCCCATATTTTTCAGACAAAGATAGACGGGAAGGTGGTATCTGATTCTTTAAAATGAGTTTTAGCTACTATCTCATCCTAAATCCCTGTGAGCCATTAATCCTCTTGTCATGGCAAATTTCCCAGGCTACCTGAAAGATCCTTTTAAAGAACAGAATTAGAAACTATTAAATAGGTGGATCCTCCCAAAGCTTAGCATATCATTAATCAGAAGAAGTTCACGCACAACCCTGGACACACATCTTTTAGGTTTTCAAAACCTTTGGTGAGATGATTAAGTCCTGTCTGTGAACGTTTCCTCCAAAGAGTAGTTGGTTCAAGTCTGTCCTGGACCAGCATAATTTGCAGTCTTGTATTTGTGAGTTACTTAGTATTTATTCTCACCCCTACTGTGAATCAGAAGTTGAGGAGGTGACAGACCCAAAGCTCAACATTTTTTGCTGATTAACTGTAAACCTTGGGTTAAAAACAGTACATCCTGCAAGCCAGTCAGGTTTCATTTCCAATATAACAATAATAACTTTCAGAAAAATCTTGGTGGAAGAGTAAGGCAACCAAGATTCCTTTCTTTTTATATTGCCTCTCCATGAGGAATAAGAATAAGACAATTGCTCATCTAGAAAGAACCTCCAGAGAGGAACGTTAAGACCAGGGTGTTGGACTTTCTCAATAGCAGAGCAACTATCCTTTATAATTATGTTTTGATTCACAAACCATACAAATTCATGATGAAAATGAGAATGTTCAAAGATAAAATGTCAAGGACAATAATGTTTATCCACAACCCACTTAATTATGTGATTGCAGTGCTAAAATACTCTTGACAAAACCAACCCAAGGGTTTATTTGAGGTCACCGTTCAAGGGCACAGTCCATCAAGTCAGCGAAGTCAAGGGCGCAGGTGCTTGAAGCAGCTGTCACATCATAGTCACAGTCAGGAAATAGAGAAGGATGAATGCAAATTAGTGTTCAGCCTTCCTTCTCTATCAGCACCAGTTCAGAATCCTCTGCCCAGAGAATGGTCCTGCCCACAATGAAGATGGATCTTTCTACATTAATTAACAAATCAAAATAATCCCCCATGGGCATGTCCAGAGGGCCACCTCCTGGGTGATTGCAGATTCTTTCAAATTGACATTACTAACCATTACCTCTCCAGTGTTACTCCTCAGGGAATATCTATTAGATTCCCCCTATCCCACTAGATAAGTTCAGAATCTAATTTATTCTGCCTAGCAAAAACTCATTTCATTTTTTCAATAACACAATGACTTGAAGAAGGGGAAGAGAGACTGTTCTGGATCAAATAATGTAAATACGGAAAAACAAATTTAGTACTTTGGGTATTAAATCATATTTTACACAACTTGAGAAACTTGATTGTGTCCTGACTATTAGATGATACTAAGGAGTTCATAATTATTTATTATTAACTCTTTAATGACATCATGGCTATATAAGCAATGCTTTAAGAACCTTATTTTCAGCTGAGGGTGGGGAGATAGAGGCCTGAGGACCAAGAGCAACAGCCCAACCTCAACTACAGACTGAGACTCTGTCTTAAAACAAAGTCGGAAATAAAACAAACACAAATAGTTTTAGGTGTGAAAAACTAAAATGAGAGGAAAGCTAGGGTTTGTTTTAAAGCACCAACAGCAACAACAACAAAAAGAGAGAGCAATTATGAGAAGATTGTAGGAATTATTGCCTTCTGATAATTCTACAAAAGAGTTAATCAGTTAAGACTTTTTAGCACCCCAGACATTCATTAGATAATGGTCTCTTCAGTTCTCCTCGATGTCAAAATATACATGCATTTTCAAACCCCAATACCACACTTCTAGGTTTTTTACCCCCTTGTTGCAAAATTTTAGATAAAATGTTTGCTAATTTTCTTACATTTTTCGTGCCCTGGCTGTGCTGATGCCCCTAGAAAATAGGCACTTCACTTGCCTGTCGGTGACTGACAACCAAAGGCTACCCTGAAAGCAATGCCGTTTCTGCCAGCAGGGAACATCTGGTTCAGGCTTCCCTCCTTGGATTGTGCTTGGGCACCGTTATCTCCACACAGCATTTTCCCTGTGTTCAAATGTGTCTACAAAGTTCCCCGACTCCTACATAGACTCATCTTACCTAACTATAGAGGTCCTACTTCCAAATAAAGTTATATTCTGAGACACTGAGGGTTAGCACTTCATCTAAACCTTGGGGGAGTGGACTCACTTCCACCCACAACAGCTGCCATTCAGTTCCAAAGTCTACGGTTCTGAGCCTTCGGGTATGGCCCAGATGTGGTGCCTTGCTTGCCTCGATTTGGGGTTTTTGTTATTATTGCCTATTCAATTGTCAAGTGGGACATTTGCTTACTGCTAGAAGAAACATGTAAGTCTTAAGCCTGATGAAGCCTAGAAATCCAGTAGCACATGGCTGATCATATGATGCAGCTGATGGTTCATTCATCAGACAGGGTAACCAAATTCAGGGTCATTTGTAGAAGTCATGCTAAACTCTAAATAGTTGATTCCAGGATGTACGTGCATTCTGACCCCCTCAACAAACTCAGACCAGCGTGTCTGTTTTCTTCTTGATATCATGTATCTGTTTGTTTGATTTATAGAAAAATGTAATTTCCTTGTAGGATTTAAACTTTCAGAAGTGTGTGACATCCAATCACGCATATCTGGAGACTCTGTCAAGCTATAATGAAATGACTCTTAATCATGTGACCACGAAACTCGTTATTCTTGTGTACGGCCATGTAATTGATAACAAAACGAAAGAATCACATGTTGCACCCAGCATTATTCCTAAGTCCTGTGAGCAGGTAAGGTGTCCAAAGAGCCGTTTGCTTGTTGTGGTGTTCCATAAGCAGCTTCAAAACTGAGATGACAACAGTTAATTGTGTGCTTAAAATAGCTAGTCATTAAGAGAGCAAAGTTTGGAGTTAGAATTTTAACAGTGGTTGGTGCCTACTGGTTGCAGGAACCAAGCAGCTGCTCAACTGTTTTGACCTTTGGTTTGCTACTTAATGTAATGAGGATGCTGGCAGCAGCCATGTTGTTAGGCTGGTATGAGGACTAGTTGACATAATTCAGAATTTAGAGACCTTGGTTTAATCTCTGTTCTGCTCTTAGCATTCTGGGAAGCCAATGGGAAGGCTGGCCTTGAAACATTGATCTTCAGTGTAGATGTAAAAGTAATCCACGGCTTGCTGGCCATTCCCTTCTTTCTAAATGAAGTACTCTAGTCCAGTTACAAGTAAGGAGTAGACATTTTTGTTTTGGCTTCCATAAATATTCAAAAGACAATTTTTTTTCTGGCTTAAGATTTCTTTGAAACAACATGAAAAGGAATTTCAAAGTAAAAGGATAAGTCTTGCCTGGGTTTGTGTGGTGAATGTCGGAGTCCCAGCAGTTTGGTGGGGAGAGACGCTAGTGAGTTGGAGGCCAGTCTGGGCTACATAATCAGACAGACAGACAGACAGACAGACAGACAAGGAGGCAGGTAAAAGTAATACACACACACACACACACATACACACACACACACACACACACACACACAGAGCTTAGGCTGGAGACTTAGTGCTAAGTTTCAGCTTGTTTCTTACATTCTTCACAAAGAAAATTGGGAAGCAGCCACTTCAGGACTGATGTGTGTTCTTTTGACTAATTTTTATTTCTTTTGCCTTTAGATCCAGGGAATTTCAGATGTAAGCAAGCTTCTGCTCATCCCAACATCTGAGCCTGTCACAAGTGATGAGACCTCCCACGCCATGGGTAAGGGATGGATAGCCTTTTAGCGGTGAGAAAATTACTGTAAAGCATTTTGACAAATGTAAAATTCTTTTAATTCTGAAAAGTGATTGGATGTGGTCTTCACTCTAGGGCCCACACTGGCTTCCACTTTGCTTTTGGGAGGTTATCTAACAGAGGCACTGAAATCCATGTGGCTCTTGCCTCTCCTATGTCCCTCCCTCCATACACCTTGTCAACAAACAACAAGCCCTGGTAGGGTGGACCAGCAAAGTGCTATTGGGGTGCTACTGAAATGGGGAGAGGAGAGACTCCCACAGTGGGGTCAAGGGAGGAGAACGGTCTGTTCCCTGCAACTGAAGGGAATATGAAACCCGACCCACCTTCTTTGAGTATTAAAAACTAGTCACAGCCACACGTCTAATGGATTGCTCTAGTTACACTTAAGTAATTGAAGTCAATAGATGCAATTCTCAATCATGTTGCTGAGCACTGATTACAAAGAGAAGAGTAGGTAGGAAGGCTTTGTTCTGGAGAAAATATACCCAAGGACTTCACTCTATGCTCATTGTCCTTGCCTTGCTGGGCTCCGTGTCAACACCATCCCACCTGGCCCAGCTTGAATACAGAGTCAGCCTTGAAATGTAACTGTGAGATCATGCAATTCTTAATGAATTGCTGTTTTGAGAGTAGACCTCTCCTACCTCAGGCCCTTTGGAAAGATACCAGACAGAGGGGAGCATAGCCACTAGTATTCTCCAGTGGGCTTGAGACACAGCTCACAAATGGTTAAGACCAGGTCTCGATCCAGTTCCTTGAGTTTGGACTGTGACACATATTTTGCTTTGAAAATTTTCAATGAGTTGCCATGGAAAAACAAATAGAAGTTTCACATTTACAAATGTAAATTTTTGAGATTTTCATTAAAAAAAATGAGGTCTACCAGTATGTGGCCCTCATTCCCATATGTGGCAACAGTCAATGAGATAGCAACTGATTTGTACAATGGGAGCAGGTGCCTGCCTATGCAGTCCACACTGTACCATTTTGCATATATACAGTCTGCTTTGTTTGTGGGACCTGCTTGTCAGCTTGTACGTTAGACTTTTAAGAGCTCATTCCAAAGCTCCAAGGGACGAAAGTAAAGAGCCTGTTTGGAAATGGGAAGGGGAAGGGAAGACTTATGTGGAGAGAGCAGTCTGATACTCAAATACTTGGAATTCTTTTTTTTTTCTCTTCACCTCAGTCAACACTGGTCTTCGAACGACCAAGAAAGATTATAACTGGAAGAGGAAAGAAGAGGTAATAAATCGGGTCCTTGGAATAGATTTTTCTTATTGTGAATATTAATCTACATAGCTATGCACAAACCAGGCATGGTGGCACACACCTATTGAAAGGACAAGTATTGACTCAGGACCACTAAGACCAAGTTTTCTTCACACAGGAGATTTATTTGCCCCAGAGCGACAGAGGGCAGGAATAAGGGACAAAGACAGGAGATAGAGGAGGAGGGAGAAGGGGAAGGGAACAAGGAAGAGATGGGGGAGGTTATTTGTCCTGGAGGGACAAAGGATTGCCCCTGGATAGAGAGGAGACAGACATGGTCCATAGGCAAATGGCAGTTTATAAACGTAAAAGAGAAACCCTATATCAGGATGAGGTGTTTGATTTTAATTAAGCATGTTAACTAGGTGAGCCAAAGGGGGTTTTTGATTGCTAGACTTCAACACTTTGATAGGTGGACCTTGGTAGTCAGCCTCAGGAGGAGGAAGTCACCAAATAAGGGAATGGACCTTGGTGGCTAGTGTTAGGGATGCAACCTGACAGTTGTTAGCAAGGCAAAGGGAACAGGGAGAAGATTCAGGCTGCCAGAGAAAGCTGTGTCAGCCACACTCCAGCTGGCCAGAGTCCCTTCACCTATAATCTCAGCGCTTGGGAGGGGGAAGCTGGAGGACCTGGAACTTAAGGTCATTCTTAGCTATCTAGTAAGATTGAGAGCAGCCCAAGCTGTATGAGACCCTGTCTTTAAATAAATATCTAAATACATAGTGAGATGAAGGAGCGAAATGCAGGTAGTGAGAAAAGACACCTTGTTGCAGCTCACTAAGTTGGACTAGTTGAGACAAAGCTAATCTGTGTTACTTAAGAACTAAAATCACAACCATCTATAATGAGATGTGGGGCCCTCTTATGGCATGCAAGCATACATGCAGGCAGACCACTGTATACATAATAAATAAATAAATCTATAAAAAAAAACAACAAAAAGCTAAAATCAGGGAACATTGTTTTGAATAGTATAATTTTAAAGACTGGGAAAATGGCTTAATGGCCAGTGTGCTTCGTCTACAAGGCTGAGGACCTAAGTTTGGATCCCCAGTCTTCACATACATGGCAGGTATGGCAGCACACCTGAGCTGTGGCTTGTGGGTAGGGAGGGTAGGTGGATTGTGGGGTTCATTGGCCAGCCAGCCTAAGAACTGTCCCAGGCTCTGCAACCTGTCGAGTCCATTAGTGTTGCTTATATGTGTATTTTTTTGAGGGGGATGACCACTTGGGATGAGATAACCATTTAGGGTATTCATCTCCAGGGAAGACTAATTCTCCCTCAGTCAGAAGTTTGTAATTGCCTATAGTCCTTCATCCCAGGGTGTTTTCTTCAACCCACACTGGTGTGTCAACGATGGTTCAGGTCTTGTTTAGACGGCCAGATTGTTGAGATTTCATGGATGGAGGACACAGTCTTGCAGCACACTTCCTGTTCTTCTGGCTCTAACAGTCTTTGTACACCATCTTCTTCGATGTTCCCTGAGCCTTAGCTATAAGGATTGCATTGTAGATGTATCCAGTGGGGCTGCCTGCACCCCCCGCCCCACATCAGTTGTTCTCTGCATTTTTGACTAGTGGCTTCCTGTAATGGTCTGCTGTAGAAGAAGCTTCTCTGGTGAAGGGAAGAAAGAGCTACTCTTATCTGTGGGGATAAGGATAAGTCCTTAGAATGCAGTTAGCCATTATACTGGTTGAGGAAACTGGCAGAAGTAGCTTCTCCTCTGAGATCTCTGACCTCACTAGCCACATGGAGTTGACTAGGTTTGTTCCTAGTCATGCATCAGGCATGTGTTCCCTCCTGTCAAGTGGACCTTAAACACAATTGGATAGCTGCTAGTTGCAACCAACACATAAACGCCATTATTACACTTTTAGGGATACCCTTCAGTGCTGATCACTGCTGCGGTTCAGACATCACAGTAAAAACCCAGATATTTTGAAACATGATTTTAAAGCCTGGTGTAGTTTTGTTTTCACTTTTCTTGATCCCTTCAGCTGCAAGAACTGATGTGGAGAAATCTGAGCAGTGCTAGAAGCCATGCCTAGATTTGTGGAGGCAAGGGACTTGTTACCCTGGGTCAGAACAGAGTTAAGCCCAGGTGGTGGAGCTCTCTGCTTGCTCATGATGACAGGGCCTCTCTGTTCAGTCCTCCAATAGCTCTTTTGAAGCAAGGCCCACCTCTGGGTGGGGTGCATGAGCAGACAGGTCTCACAGGGTGACTGGGTATAGGAGTGATGGGTGCACAGGACAGGCCTCAGGGGCCTTCAGTAACCTCCCTTATTTTGATTTCTAATGGCTAGATACCAAGTTACCCTAAAAAAGCCTGTCCTCTAAGCAAAAGTCACACACACACACACACACACACACACACACACACACACACACACACACACACACTCACACACTCCATCCTCAAGGAGATGTCCATGCTGAGGCTCTTCTAAGAGAAGATTTAGTCCTGCCACCTACACTTACTATCAAGGTGAGATGCAGTGCGCTTGTCAGAAGAAATGGCAGCTGCCCCAATCAAGGTCATGGGTGATAGTTCTTTTAAAAAAGACTAACTCAGCTCTTTCTGGGTAGCTCTTATAGGGTCATCCTTTCCTTACCTTTAAAGGAAGCTCATTTCATAGGTAGTGATCCTGAGAATCAAACAGCTGGGCTCCTCACTTATTACTCATTCTTTCCGGCGTCATCATTATCACTATTATTTGTAGAGCCTCAAAGCATGCTAGTACCAGTGTACCAGCTAGGAGCAGAGTACCAGTGAGTCATATTCCCGGCCCATAGACCCCATTATTTTCTAAAAAGTTTTCACTTCCACAATTTATAGGAAAAATTTCCAGTTACTCTGTAATCAGTCATAAAGTTAACTAGAATTTAAATTTCATGACACTTCTCTCTTTTCTTAAGCACATCTTTGGCAGTTGAATTAATGTAGTATCAATTGCTAATTAAATTAATGCAGCATCTCTTTACAGTATAGAAATATACATGTGGAGCCGGAGAGATGGCTCAGTGGTTACGAACACTTGATGCTCTTGCAGAGGACCCAAGTTTGGTTCTCAGCACCCACATGGTGGCTCACAATCATCTGTAACTCCAGTTCCAGGGGATTCAGGTTCTATAGGCACTAGGCATGCACATGGTTCACATATATACATTGTAGCTGAAATTTTCCTGTGTCCTGCTGGCTATAGAAGGTCAGGACAAATCTCTCTCACCCACCAGTCCCGCAGCTGTTCAGACCCAAGTAAACACACAGAGGCTTATATTAATTAAAACTGCTCAGCCATTGGCTCAGGTTTACTACTGACTAGCTCTTACACTTAAACTCAGCCCATTTCTGTTAATCTATATGTCGCCACATTTTCCGTGGCTTTACCTGTGCATCATTACATGCTGCTCCCTGGAAGGTGGGCTGGTGTATCCTGACACTGCTCTTCCTCTTCCCAGCATTCCTTTAGTCTGCTCACGCCACCTATACTTCTTGCTTGGCTACTGGCCAATCAGCATTTTATTAAACCAGTGTACAATAGCATTATCCCACAGCAATGCATGTTGTGGGGTATTTGATCACATTGTGAACCCTGAGTTTTCATTTGTGTTAATTAAATAAAATCAACCTTGGGTCAGGAGGTTGAGTTAACAACTAATTGACAGAGAGGAATCATATATTGTCAGAGGGTATCTGGAAGATGATAGAGTGACACACAGGAAGTAGTGGGGAGGGGCCTTTTGTGGCATGTTTTTTTTTTTGGTTTGGCAGAGGGAAGGACACTCCCTTTAGGAGACACCTGCAAACAGAAGTCAGCTAGTTGCTACTCAACCTCTCTGAGCTAGCAGGTTTTCACCCCAGCCTCTGACTCCCAAGTCTTATTGACAAATAGGATGATAGAGATTTAATTAAAAGCTATATTTGGGAGCAGCAACAGAACTGGTGCCTGTGGGAACAGAATTCCTGTTAGGCCATGGCCTAAATGGCTGGGCCGCTGCTAGAGAAGCAGGCCAGTAATAGCAGAGCTGCAATTACTGGCTAAAAAGTGGCAGATTAAAGCCAGGCTCTCTGCTGAAGGAAAAACAACACATACATAAAGGCAAGATGCTCAGGCACATTAAAGAAAAATAAATGAATAAATAAAAATTATAAACACACATGTTAATTGCATATTGTAACTCAGAGCCTTTAGTATGTAAGTTCTTTTAAGGGAAAATAGACAATAAAATAGAAAGCGTCCAGTAATTTTTGACTCCATTTAATTGGCAAGAATCTTTCCTGAAGCATTCATAGTCTAATATTTTTGACTTTCTTTTGCAGGTGGAAGGTGGACATCTCTTTAGAAAGACATATTAGCAAGACAGCTATGATGTGTGGAGTCAGGTAAAGGTGGAGCTGACACCTGGGCACAAATGTTGACTTAGAAACTGCTCAAACTGTTTGCTGCTGCATTTATTTTAGAGGCAATTAATGGATTGCCACCAACACTTCAGACTTTTAGTAGTTGCATTATATTTGAGATACTCAAAAGTCTTCAGGATACTATAAAATTCTTTAAAACTGAGGGAAGGAACGCTTCCCCTGGCTTAGCACAAGTGGTAACAGAGTAAGTTGGTAAATGAGATGTGCAATTAATGTGGAAGTCCAAAGCAGAATACTTGTGAAATTGCTGTAATTAATGCATCTCTGACACTTTGTATCTTCCTTCTCTAATTTAGTATGTGCTGAAAAATGGGAAAATGTTCCACAATCTTGGTTACCGAAAGCAAAGTCTAGGAGAAATCAACATTCTTACATTTCATAGTCCTGTTTGACATAACTTTCTATTTTATTTTTAAAAGCCAAATAAAGTTGAATGTTATGGTCAATGAATAACTTTTTAGAATCCATTATTCTTTATCATTTCAACCAGACTAAGAATAGGATAGTGTTGTGAAAATCTTAATAGAGGTAACAACAACAACAACAAAAGTATGGTAGAAAAAGTTGACCTTTCAAACCTCAGGGCAGGTCCTGGGTGGCCTTCACTATGTCAGGAAATGCCAGGTATGACTGTACAGAAACCCGAGTGCACTTGACCACAGAGGTTCCTTTTTCTGATGTAACATGTCTGCAAATAGGTGAAGCGGGCTGGTGTTGCCACTCGAGAGTGTCATGGGCCAAGTCCCTTCCAGTGTCCCACTCCTTCACCCTTGGCCTTGTCCTCTCTTGTCAGAAACACCTGTGAAGACCTTCCATTCTAGATGGAAGGCTGCTTAGTTTTAATCGTCAGTTTGCCTCAACGTATCTGAGGAGCTTCAGTTGAGGAATTACCTAGATCAGGTGGGCCTATGGGCATGTTTGTGGTGGGGATTGTCTTGACTATTAATTGATGTCAGATCACTGGCCTGTTGGGGGTGGTACCATTTCATGGGCTGGGCCCTGAACTGTTTATGAGTGAAAAAAAATATAAGCATCAACCAAAGATGAATTTATTCTTTTTGCTCTTGATTGTGGATGCAACGTGACCAGCTCTTGCCTGGACTTCCCCCACATAATGGACTATGTCCTAGAACAGTAAGTGAAATAAACCCTTCTCTCTCTGTTACTTTTGGCCAGGATGTTTTGTCACTACAGTATCAAAATGAGAACAGATGGCTTTGCCTTTCTTCAGTGAAGGGACCTCTTCCTGGGCCAGAACTGTCTTGTGGCCGTACACTTGTCACCCTGAGATGAGCTGGCACGCCCCCCCCCCCCCAACACCAGTCAGGATGTCCATCGGGCCCGAGAGGGAAACACTGATGAGCAACAACAGTATTGCTTTGCCTGTCACTGGTACCTGGACTGTAAATGGCTCTATGTTCTCAATCTCTGGGCTCTTCATTTTAACTGCTAGTATACTTAGCGCATATTTAAGCTCACAGTCAAGTGTAGGTGGTACAGGTGCACTAGAAAAGATGTAAGCTTTACAGTCTTGCTTAGGAGGTATATTAGCCTGTATTTGAAACCTGTATATTGAAGTACCAACTAGAAGATGGTACTTCATTCTGTGTATACAGAATACTTTGTGCTTCAGGTGATTAGAAACAACTCAAAAGGTGTAAACACTAAAGAAATTTATTATCATCACATAAACCAAGAGTAGGACAGGTTTTTCAGAAGGTAGAAATTATCAGACTAGTTTATTTTTTTCTCTCTACTGTTACCTGTTCAGCCTTATTCTGTGGTTGCATGTTTTCTTGATCATATCTAGTAGGAGACAAAAACAAAAACCCAAACCCCTTCAAATTACTCTTTAGCCAAAGAATTATTTTAGAAGCCTGGCATGGTGGCTCACACTAAGAATCCTAGCCCTTGGGAGGTAAAAGCAGAAAGACCAAGAATTCAAGGCCAGCCTTACCTACACAATACTGTCTGAGTGAGAGAGAGAGAGAGAGAGAGAGAGAGAGAGAGAGAGAGAGAGAGAGAGAGATTCTAGAAACCCCTAGGAACCATCTATTTGTGTCTCACGGAACTGGGGCTTGCACATTAGCTTAGGTTGGTTGGACACCTGTCTCTGCCTCCTCAGTGCTGGGATTACAAGCATGCCCTACCATACCTGGCACAGCATTTTACCAATTAAATATCTCCCCAGGTCCCTGGTAATAATTTTTTTTAAACCAGTTAACATGCCCTCAAAGTAGTCAAAATTCTATTTCCTCAGCTTGCATGTAGGAACAATGAGGGAGACCATGCCAGGATGCTGCATGTAGGAGCTGACAGCTTGACTTGGCCATTTAGACACTAGTCATTTGCTGTGGGATGGTCTTTCTGTATGCTGTGAATACATGTTGTTACCATTGGTTAATAAAGAAGCTGCTCTGGCCTATGGCAAGACAGGTTATAGCCAGGCGGGAAATCCAAGAGAGATAGAGTTGGGGAGACACCATCCAGCCACCCAAGGAACAAGATGCCTGCAGACCAGTAACGCCACGGCTGTGTGGCAAAATACAGATGAATAGAAATGGGTTAATTTAAAATATAAGAGCTAGTGGCACTGAGAAACTTCAGTCTACATTCATTCTCTCCCTTCACTTGACCTCTTTATGAGGGGGGAGGATGAAACCAGCTTTGGTAAGTCTAGAGTTCAGTTGATCACTGTGCTCATCTTTCTGCTCTAACTAAAACATTTCTTAGTTCTGGAAGTCATATGAACTGCCTCTTCATTCCTTGTTTCTGGGCTGGGGGCGGTAGCATACACCTTTAATCCTGGCAGTTGGGAGTCTGGGCTACCCAGCAAGTTCTGGTTATAAGTCAAACAGAAAAGAAATTTCCTACAGCCATTATCCAGTTTCAAGAAACAAATCTTCGCATGGATAATGAGATTCATTCTAAAAGAAACTCAGGCCAAAATTGACCCTCCTCATCCAACAACAAATTTAAAATCGTGTTCAGGATCACTCCTGCCCTGGAAATGTCCATCCAATATGGAGTATTTTGTATTCGGTATAAGATATTTGAACCAAGCCTCAGTCTCAAAATTGTCCAGTGAAAAGTACCAGGATTCAGGTTTTTTTTTAAAGCATTTTTATACTGACATTAACATGGGCAGAAGAGTCAAAACACCAAGATTTAGAAGCCTGAGCAGGGAGGGGTAACAAGTTGATGAGGATGAGGTAAAGACGATGAACTTGCTAAGTCAGTGGTAAACATTCTATTGGTCAGTAAACACAAGACTCAGAGTCTGAGGCATCCACAATGGCAATTTAGTTTCTGAACTCTGTCATCAAAGCCGATACTACAGGGCACAGTGGCATTCCCTTGCAAATCCTGGCACCTGGAAAGCTATGGCAGTAGGATTTCAAGTCCAGCCTGGGCTCCAAAGCAAGATCGTATCACAAACAAAAAGCAAAAACCTTAACAGGAAATTGAGGCCAGACTTCCCATGGAAAGAAAGGACTAAAACAAACAAATGTTTAAGGGGGAAGAGAGCCAGCAGTGAGGTACCTGATAGGTGGGCCAATGACAGGAGACAGAGGCAAGGAAGTCAGGAGATGATCTCTCTCGGTCATATCTACAACACAGGAAGTGGCCCCTTACCAGACCCAGGATCCACCACTGCCTCAATCTTAAGACTCCCCACCTTGACACCTAGAAATAAACCCCCACTGCTCAATCCACCCACTCCATTGCATTTTTGTTACAATAACCCAGACTAAGACCCACAAATGCCTTTCTGCCCTGACCTAGTAGCATTGTGTAAGCCTGCGAGGAACCATTCAGCTTGGAGTAGAAAAAAATAAAATATACCACCATCTCAAAGCTTTTTTTTTTTAATTTTTTTTTTTCTTAAGATCTACTTATTTTAGCCAGGCGGTGGTGGCACACGCCTTTAATCCCAGCACTTGGGAGGCAGATCTTTGTGAGTTCGAGGCCAGCCTGGTCTGCAGAGCGAGATCCAGGAAAGGCGCAAAGCTACATAGAGAAACCCTGTCTCGAAAAACAAAACAAAACAAAACAAATTTACTTATTTTATGTATGAGTACCCTATCTGCAAGATGCATGCCTTTATGCCAGAAGGGGGCATCGGATCCCATAAGAGGTGGTTGTAAGACACCATGTGGGTGCTGGGAATTGAATTCAGACTCTCTGGAAGAACAGCCAGTGTGCTTAACAGCTGAGCCATCTCTCCAGCTCCTCAAAGCTCTTTAGTCTTGCTATACTGCTAAGGAATTAAGTTAAGGTTATAATCTACATACCCACTCCCAAGACTCTAGGAAAACAGGAAACAGCAAAATGGGCCCAATACATGTGTGGGAATCCTATCCTTCACTGGCTCCTGCTTATCTGTCCTTGGAGAAAAATATCCATGTCAATCCTAGCAAGAAAGGAACCTGCTTCTGCCCCATAGGGTGTGAGTTGTCTAAATTAGTACTTCAAAATGTGACAACACAATTTTCTGATCCAGTTTCAACAAAGGATTTTATTTGTTGAGCCCCAAAAAGCAGAACTCAGAAAACGGCAACCTACTGTTAGGACAGTTTAGTGGCAAAGCATTCTGTTACTGTCTGTCTTTACAAGGTGTGTTCACATGCACGTATGAGGGCGGACTGACAGGAAACGCCAGGAGGGACATGTGCTATCTTGCTCACACCCTTGGGTGCACCTCCTTCCTTTGCCTCTGAGTCCTCTCTTGATAGAAACTCACCAGATTGTTTATATCAAAACAGAACTTGCCCTGTGCTGTCCCAAGTTTGTTATTTCCCAAAAGTACAGAATTGAAAGTTTCCCCTCATTTTACTATTCTCCAAAACAGGTAACAGAAAATTCAACTAGGAAAGCTACAGGAGGTGAATTTAATCATTCTGTGAGGAGGCCGAGTGAGCTTCCTCTACCACTCTACACGCTAGCTTGCTGATCACAAACCCTGCAGAGACCTGACAAGATCTGAGGCTCCAATACAGAATGTATTTCAGAGAAAGCCAGTCAGCGGAGCCCTGAGATGGACAGAGGGGCAGGACGCTGGTGAAGGCACAGAGGAAAGAATCCCAAGGAAGTTTTGGTGCCATTTGCGTTTAATGAGCCAGTAGTACAGTGACCTTGGCTGTGATCACGCCGGGATGTTTACTGAACGGTGCATGGACACCCGACTGTCAGCTGGTATCCTTGGGTCCACCACGCCGGAGCAGCCGCAGCCCCAACTCCCACAAGGACTTAAGGCTGAGGGGTATAACGGAGGTATTTCTTGCCAGATGGGAGCTCTTTGGTGAAGACTCCTTTGGGGAAAAGCTGTTTGGCTTCCTCTTCAGGGATAGTGGGAAGGACCATGACGCTGTCGCCTTCCTGTCGGGAGATGGTGCAATTCAATCTTAGGCATTAACTACGGGAGAGCAGTCTGTGAAGGTGGCAAGGAGGTAAGCTAGAAATCTTCACTCTCTCCTCTTTGAGGAACTTACTGTTTTACAAATTGATTTCTGACATGCTTATTAGGAGTACTTCTCCATCTTAAGTAGAAACAGTCCAGTTTTAAATGCCATCCTAGCTGGCCATTGAAGGGACTCTAGCTAGTCTGGGCCTGGCAAACATGGCTCTGGCAGGCCCTGACCTTCTCCTGCATTCCCTCTGCCTTGCTAGCAACTGTTAGGTCACATTCCTAAAACTAGTCATCAAGGTCTAGTCCCTTATTTGGCCACATCCTCCTCCTGAGGCCGACTAACCAGGTTCAGCTACCAAAGTATTCAAGTCCAGCAATCAGAAGCCCCCTTTGGCTGACCTAATCAACATGGCCGATTAAAATGAAACATCTCATCCTGACATGGGGTTTTCCCCTTTCCCTTTATAAACTGCCGTTTTCCTATGGGCCATGCCTGTGTCCTCTCTATACAGACGCAGTCCTTTGTCTCCAACTATCCCTTCCCGTTCCCCTTGTTCCCTTCCCCTTCTCCCTCACCCTCCTGTTTTTGCCTCTTATTCCCTGCCCTTTGCCCCTCTGGGGGAAATCTCCTTTGTGCTGAGAACTTGGTTTTGGGGGTCCTGAGCCAATACTTTCCCTTCTAGCCGTCACACCTTAAAACTCTTTAATTCTAAACCTACCCCTTGGTTTACAGGATTTGATTGGGCTAGACTCCCTCTCACCTCCCATCCCCCACTCTACGTCCTGAAAATGTAGATGACTGGCCTGTCAGAAAAATCAAAACCCAGTACTCAGGTTAGCACACAAATCATGAAGCAACACTAAGATACTCTTGGTGTATTCTCTTGTCCTGTTTACCTGCAGAGATTTTCTTAGGTATTAAAAGTTTATGAACAATTTGGGTGTGGTGGTGCACGCCTGAAACTTCAGCACATGGAAGCCTGAGGCAGGAGATTAAGAGTCCAAGGCCAGCCAGGGCGGTGGTGGCACACGCCTTTAATCCCAGCACTCGAGGCAGATCCAGGCAGATCTCTGTGAGTTCAAGGCCAGCCTGGGCTACAGAGTGAGTTCCAGGACAGGCGCAAAGCTACACAGAGAAACCCTGTCTCGAAAAACAAACAAAAAAAAGAGTCCAAGGCCAGCCTATGATAAACACCGAGATCCAATGTTATAAGGGGCAGGGGCAGGGACTCATTCACTTGCAGAGTGCTTGCCTGGCATGCATGATGCCTTGGGTTCAGTTCCCAGGACCCTATAAAACTGGGCATGGGGGCACAGGCTTAAAATCCTAGCACTTGAGAGGCAGAAGAAGCAAGAAACTCAAGATCATTCTTGGCAACATGATGAGCTTTAAAGCCCTTGGGCTACAGGAGACCATGAGACTTTATCTTAAATGCTCACACACACACTTTCTGAGCACACGCTCTCTCAGACTATGTATGTTTAAAAGGTTGGAGCTTAAGAGAAAAGAAATGCTGTAACATCGGTACACCAACAGTTATGGAGCCACCATGACAGATGTGAACTAGTCCTTCCTGATGAGACAGGACCTTGCTATGTAGCCTAGGGTGAACTTGAACTTGTGATCCTCCAGTCCCTGCCTCTGGATCACAAGTTTCACCGTGTCTAGCTCCAACAAGGTTCTGCTTATCAGCTAATGGTTAGATGAAAGGATTTTTTTTTTAAGTTTTGTACATGTTGAGTATCCTGTATTTAAAGAGGAAGTGTTTCATATTGGGACATTTTTGGATATGGAATATGTGCACGTTCCAGTTGAACATCCCTAACCTCCAAAAGTTGAAATGTGATGAAATGCATCCAGAAATTTTGGATTTCGGAGCATTGTGGGTCTGGGATTTTTGGATCAGTGATGTTTAACTTCTAGACAAAAAAAAGAGGCCACTGTGACCAATGACGTGGACTTATACAACAGAAAAACCCATGAAGTTTTGTGTTTTATGCACACAGTGCACATAATCTTTTAAACAAATCCTCCTGGTATACCAGAGTGGGACCACAGACACACCCCAGGAAACCCAGATCCTGAAGGTGGCCATTAGACCGTCCTTCCGACCATTCAGGCAAGCTGGGCACCGCTTCTTGAACAGCTTTACCTTCCAGTCAACCGGGGTAGCGACGCGTTTGGTTGCTGTCAGCTGGAGAGACTTAATTACTCTGAGAATCTCATCAAAATTCCTGCCGGTGGTGGCCGGGTAGAGGATAGACAGCTTCAGTTTCTTGTCAGGCCCGAAAACAAACACCTGCAAGGCACAGACGCACGGGAAGTGCTTCAGTATATCTGACGGGAAAGCCATTGCTGGGCGTCAGGGTCATGAGCTCCCTGCCTCAGTTCCCCCGGTTCCAAAGGAGTTAGCAAACAGAATTAGCAAAGGAAAATAGATTCCATTACAGGGCAGCCAAATCAGGGAGATAAAGACTCCTAGTCTGTCCACCCTTCCTCTGACACAGTGGTTCTCAACCTTCCCAAGGCTGTGTGTGTGTGACCTTTTAATACAGTTCCTCATGTTATGGTGAACCCCCAACCATAACTTTCTTTAGTTGCTATTATTTATTATAGTGACAATTATTTAGTTACTTAATTACATAGCTATAATTTTGCTACTGTTGTGAACTATAATGTAAATATCTGATATGCGGAATATCTGATATTCGACCCCTGTGAGAGGGTCACTTGACTCCCCAGTGGGGTTGAGACCCATAGGTTGAGAACTGCTTCTCTAGCAGTTCTATAATTTAAAAAGAATTTTATTTATGTTGTGCGTGGGAGGGTGTGGGTGTACACACATGCCAGTGTGATAGTGGAGGCCAGAGGTCAGCTTGCAGGAGTTGGTTCTCTCTGGCGCCGCATGGGTTCCAGGAATCCAATCAGATCCTCAGGTTTAGCACCCTTACCTGCCTAAGCTCCCCTGCTTGACCTTGCTATAGAAAAGATAATGCAGAAGCCAGAAACACATACATGTCCATTTACTCAGTCGTCAGAGCGGTGGGAACGTCTTCCTGTGAGGAAGAAAGTTTCTATTTTGCTGTGGATGCCTTTGCCTTTCCCTTCCAGCATGGGATTCCTGGAGAAATTTTAATTCTTTGGGGTTCACTGTTTTAAGGTCCCTGCTCCAAAGCCCCCAGAAAGCTCTGCAGTCATTAAGTGTTCAAAGATGCAAAAACATAAACGAAGATAGAACAAAGGTGTGGAAGAGTAGACAGAGCTCTGTCCGGGACACAGGTCACTCTCTTTCCTGTTACTCTTCAAAGTTTGCTGTCCCAGAAAGAAAAAAACTGTAATGTAAATCTTCAGGGAAGAGCCTCGGGTAGATGTACTAGGTCACCTAGGGATGGCTATCACGAATGTATTGCTAAATGTGAGCTGATATGGGCCTCAATCAGCTGTGCATAAGGGGTGGTCAGAACAAGAGAGTTCAGGACTGTCCTGTCAGAAATGTTTAAAAGATGGCTAGTAAGAGGTAATACAGGTAGGATTTCTTAACTCTAGAGAACAGTTTTGATGAACTACTTATTTATGTGTAGATATATCCAACAGCTACAGATTAAGCAGACATTTTAGCTGAATAGTCTATCCACTTTGCACCAGCATACAGATACTAAAGGACAGTCACTGGCACACAGATGTTTCATGATGGTGGATAGTCCTCCTCTATTTCCTTGAGTTGGCTCAAACATTTACATGGGGCTGTTAGGACTCACCACACGGGCCGTCACAGGCATGCCCTTTTCATCCTTCTCTGCTGGATCCAACATGCCCAAAAGGATGGCAAGGTCCCTCTCCTTGTCATCGATGATGGGAAACGGTAACTTATCTGTGGGCTCATCGCCATTGTAAGCATTGATGTCCTGAAACGGAGGAGAAAGGGGAAAGAGAATTTTAAACCTGACACAGTTTTCACTGCATTTCATCAGCTAAGAATCATCACTCTGCAAGCCGAGGAACCAACATAATAATGCTCTCTAAGGAATTTGAGTAAGATGCATGAATAGACACTTCTTACCACCATTATTCACGAACAGGAATATATTAGCAGAGTATGGCATACATAGGTCAAAGCCCTTTCCACACTGAACTCTTTAAATTTATAGGACCCAGGGGGTGAGGGAAGGCTGCAAGATCTGGGCTTTGAAAGACAGGTAAGGCACTGGGAAAAGCAAGGCATTTGGGGGAAAGCAATATTAAGGAGACATGTAGGCAAGTAGTCCATGCATAAACCGCCTTAGGAAAGTGAGGAAGTTAACTAGGAGATTTTAGGAAGTGACAAAAAAGTGAATTTAAAAGTAGAAAAGGGTGTTTATTATTCATGTGAAGCCCATGGGCAGATGTGAAACCTTTTTGCATTTCTTCAGAGATGAGAGGAGATAAAAGTGACATTAAAACTCTGGAACAGGTAGCAACAGACTTGAACATAGCCATTCATTTCATTGCCTGAAGTTGCCTTTGGCCGTTGGTCACTGGCTGCCCACTGTTTAGGCGCCAGCTAAACAATAACCAATATCACCTAGAGCTTTCCTGTGTAATCTGTTACATGCCAAGGCTGGCACTGCTTTTGGAGTTTGAATTTATTTTCTATTCCAGACAATCACAATTTTGGAAACGTCTAAGGCAGATTAAATGAACCAGGATATGTTCCTGTACATCAGAGGTGTCGTGTGATGATGAGCTCTGAACTCCCCTTTTGGCAATTTGTGATTTAATATTCATATTCACTAATTCTTGGCCCTGTCACTTGCTTAACTGATGGCACATTGTACTCACAGACACCAAAGACTCACATTATTTTACCTTGTTTTATCCTAAATCAGGACAATTTCACTCTTTACCGTCTGGCACTGAAGGAACGTTGGTTGAGGTTCAGATCACACTGGTGTCCTCCTTTTCAACTGGGTGAGCTTGAGCAAGTCACTCTAATACTCATTTACAAAAATGGCTTATGGCAAAGGGCTTTGCTGTGGAAATGCCAGTTACCATTCACTGCCAAAGTGTGCGCAATGAAAAAAAATCTACCTCAGAGAAGATGACAACCCTCTTTATCCTTCCTACCCATCACCCTTTTGATCCTAGACATTTGGGATAATTGGTGTGAAGTGGTCATGGGATGTAGCCTAACTCACACACCAAAATACCATCTTTTATTCAGTTGCATATGATTGGCAGTGCCCAGTACACACATACACACACACACACACACACAAATGGTAGGTATTACATGGTATATCGTAGCAAAGTCAATTAAAACATCCTGTCCAAATACGAGTAAACACTTCTGCCCAAAGCAGACAACTTCAATTCATCCATTTAGCAAATACTGACTGTCCCCTATACCGAACACCTTTGTAGCAGTGAACTAGAGTCTACCTCAGCTGGGCCCTACACTCACAAGTAGGAAAAACAGAGTGACTCTAGATAAGCAACATGCAGAGATGGGCTTAGTAGGTGATACAGAGTGTCATCAGGCATCATAATTTTCGATAAGGACAAAAAGAAGGTTTTAATGAGGTGCATTTGAGGTGAAACACCAAAGCAGTATAGGTAAGGCAGATAGGTGTATTTAGTACCTGTGAGTGCCTGTGAGTGTGTGGATAAACCAGGCATGGGATGTGAAGACACAAGGAGTAAAGAATGGCTCTGGATTTCTACTTAGCAACACCCAAAATGCAGCAACTGTTAGTGGAGATGAAAATGATCTCGGAATGAATAATGGGGTCCAATTTTAGTTATGCTAAGTTCAGAGTGTCTAGACATCCAAGGGAGATGCCGAAAAGTCTGGTTTTACTGACCTGGAGGCCAGGAGAGTCCTGACTGAGATGGGACTCTGAGAACAGTTCATGGATGCTATCTGAAGGTGTGAGTGTTAAGAGGTCACTAAGGGCGAAAGCACAGATAGAAGAGAAGCGGTCCATGAGATAAGCTCGGGCCAGCTTCAACACAAAGTAGGAACTGGGAGACAACGGAGACTAATTCTAAGCGTGGACAGCTGGAGGCAGCATCCTGAATGCCAGGAAAGCAGGGGTAGGGTTTAGAGAGATCAGTTGACCTGAATGCTACTGGTAAATAAGGGAAGAAGGTGACTGAGAATCCACCATTGGACATAACAACACAGAGATCCCTGTGTTTGAAGTCTGACTTTCAGTTAACCAGTGAACTCTGAACCCCAGAGGTTTATGTACACTTTTATCTCAGAAACCAAGTTACACTCTATGCAACTAAGATATAATAACCTCAGAATCAAAGCACATGCCAATCGATACTTCCGATAGAGACGGGGAGAAAGCAAAGTGTCTACTCTCTTACTAAGGAACACAAAGACCTCAGTGACATCGCTGGTCACCAAAAGTATACAGGTATTTCTTCCCAGAGATTGGGTGGGGATTAAAGCCTCAGTCCCTAATCCTGCCTGGTTCTGTTCAGAGCTGTGGAGGGGGCTGTGGCCATCAGTCCACTCATTAGCACATAAAAAGACACTGCCTTTTGGAAGATATTAAGGCTATTAGAAACTGTGAGGGAGGCAACAGGACAGGAGGAATATATATCTTTCTATATATCTATATTCATATATATATACCTTAAATTATAGATAGAACTATACCTTGCTCCAGGCAAGATGGTCCTCAACACTGTCTATTGAAAGAGCAATCAACTTAACATTCCTCTTGGCAAACTCTGGCGCCAGTTTTGCAGCTCTGCCAAGCTCTGTGGTGCACACTGGGGTAAAGTCCCGTGGGTGGGAAAAGAGGATGCCCCATCTGGAATGAAGAAGAAGGTCACAACTCAATCGACAGTTCCCATCATCAGGCAGAATGAAAACACTCAGTGTCTGCATTTAAAACAGGCTTGCTTTCTTCAAACGTCTGCTTAAAGAAGACATTTAAACTTGTTAGTTCCGACCTGCCTCCAGAGAAGCCCAAGCTGACAGCAAGTATCCATCAATATATACAATTTTATATATCAAATATATAAAAATCAAGATAAATGGTTCAGAAGGATCATTTTAAGGTGTTACTTTTCCTTTTTTTTTTTTGAGACAGTGCTTCTGTGTAGCCCTGGCTGTCCTGGAACTTGATCCATAGACCAGGTTGGCCTTGAACTCAGAGAGTGGGCCTGCCTCTGAGTGGGATTAAAGGCATGTGCCACCACATCCGGCCATCACTCCTTTCCTAACTGTGGAGTTACCATGACTCCTTTTCAGTCAATAAAATGTATGCTCTTCAAGCCAAGTACCCTATTGAAATATTTCTTAGGCCTTTTGTTTGTTTTCTAGCACAAACTTTGATATTCAGCATCTACTATGCCCCAAATCCAAACAGATGCCTGGCTACAATAATAAACAGATTATATAATCCAGAACAGATAGGGCTCTATCCTCCATTTGTAGGTAAAATTGAGGTTGGCATTTGGCTTTCTGGAAACAGCTAGATGTAAAATCTTTCATAAAGCCACTTGACTGATCTAACCTGTTAAACAAGGTGCCCATATTTGTACCACACCAAAATAATACTTTAACAGATGCAGTTTTTTACTTCAGAACAAGCAGGTAGAAAATACACAGATATCCTACAGTGTAGATTTCCACACCTACAATTCTTAGGTAAAGATTACAATCAAATCAACGTCTCAGGTTAAAGTTGTACAGATCCTGAGGATGACTCAAGCTCCCAAGAAACTTGGAAGTAAGTACTATTTCCTTCTCCTTGGCAACAAAACCCATTCTTTCAAGCGAAAAGGAAAACACAGCGCTCAGTTCTGTACACTCCCACTGCTTGAGCCATCCAGGGGCAAGGTCTCAAAGCAGCAGATTACTCAATCTGGCCTAGATGCTGAGGGTTTGGCAAGTTTCCCTGAGCACGAACAAGTGGGACAGAGCTACTGCCTTCCCCGGACACCTGTCACTCAGCTCCCAGGGGAAGGCAAGGCCTTCTTCTTAAAAGGATGGAAGGCCCTAAGGATGAGTGAGGTGATACCTGGAAGACTGTGGAGGTCTTCGGTGTTCAGTTCTTAATATGGGGCAGTAAGATTTCAAGACTGCAGCTAGCTGCTGTGACATTTAGGCCTTAGATTCTATGGAAAAGGACCGATGTAAGGTTCAAATGTGATTTAGTGAAAGGCTCTAGAAAATGCAGGAAAAAAAAAAGGAACAGAGCAATTTCTTTATGTATTGTTTAGGTGTGATGAATTAGAAGTCTTTTTGTCTGTGTGTGTGAGAGAGACAAATGTGTTTTGCTGAGTCATGCTGGGGTACTGGTTTTATGACCCTTGACAGGCTCCAGTATATCTCAGGGTATTCCAACAATGTCTCGCCTGGCCTGCCTGCCCTACTCTTTGGAGAAATTCAACTACATTATCCCATTTCTTCCTCATTTTCAAAAGACAAAAGGTTTCCTCCTTCTAAGAGAAGGGTCTCTGCTTCTACCAGAAAACCTCTGGTACTGGTGTTTTGATTAGTGAGGAACCCTGAGACGTACTAGAGATGCCAGGCAAAGCTAAGCAAACCCACACAGCACCCAAATCCTTGTTTCTAATCGTCAGAGGTAGAGCACACACCTGTAATGTTTAAAGTCCTTTTCCCCCACCTCTTTTCTCCAAAGGATATCTGAGCCCATAATTGGCAGTCTGATTTGAGATTATCTACAGAATGGAATTTGGAAAAAATAGGCAAATTCCATGTATTGTATTGATACATAGAGTGGAAAAGTCTTTCTTGGGTATGACAGGAATGTCATGCTTCGCTCTAAGCCCACTTTATGCTTACTTATAAGTTTACCTCATCTTTTTATCTTTAGAAGATGGCATTTTATTTACTTATTTAGTTTGTTTGTTTGTTTGTTTGTAGACAGGGTTTCTTGTGTAACAGTCCTGGCTGTCCTGGAACTTGCTTTTTAGACCAGGCTGCCCTGGAACTCACAGAAATCTGCCTGCCTCTGCCTCCTAAGTGCTGGGATTAAAGGCATGCGCCACCACCGCCCAGCTACTTACTGAGTTTTTATTTAGAAACAGAGCCTCAGTGAGTTGCCCAGGTTGGTCTTGAATTTAGGACCTTCCTGCCAAGCAGCTGGAATAACAGGCCTACACATCTGGATGTAGCTGGGAAACCTAACATTATTAATCAAATCTAGATAAGATTTAGGTCAATAAACAATCACAAAGACTCCCCCCCCACCCCCCGTGGTTATTTGTGCTTTAGATTCATATTTATCTGTAATCCAGACAGATGAAGAAGAGTTCCAGCGCGATCTCACAGTTCATGGGGGTGTGGGTTGCAGGCAGGAACGGGAAGGAACACTGTGTAAATCCTCTGCAGCCTTGGATAAATATTAACACCTAGGTTCTTAGAATAAGACTGGCAGTCTTGCTTATCTCTGGTCTTCTCCTGCAGGGTCTGAGAGTTCCATTTGCTACTTTTTCTTTGAAAAGCTCTGCTTTCCCACACAGTCAGCAGGTGGACAACAGGAGGCCAGCCAAGAATCCTCACCTAATTCTCTAATGCTTCCCCGCCTGATCACCGATTAGTTTCATAAACTGCTCTGTCTTCCCACATCATACACCTGAATAGTGGATATAAGAAGGACACAAACCCAGGAGTCTTTTCATACAACGTAGTAGGGTCACTAAAACCCCAGAGCTACAATGTAATCTGACACATATGCAAAATGCCGACTGGAACTAAGCATCTTGCAATCTGTGCATTCAGGAGCCATAAAACTAAGGCAACACTGGTGTACTCTTCACCATTAATGGCCACCACTGTGGCTATCAGCAGCAAGGCCAGGCGCTGGATGCAAGGCAGAGGGGGAGGGGACCCCTGGGAAACAAAAGAGTCTCAAAGTGGTGAGGTACACGTGTCCTCGCCTTGGAATGGCCTATGGTGGCAAAATGGTCGCAGGCGCTGAACAACCCCTCCATCAAACTGTTGCTTATTCTGGAATGACGGCCACACCCACACAAAAAGTGTTCCTGGTTCCTCCCAAAGCTGTTACACAAAATCTTATTTTGAACACTGACGTAGGCTCTGGACAAAAAGTCTTCTGGTTAATTACTTGGCACACGGTAATTTTAAAATTTTTCAGAAGTTCGAAACTACCTACCACTCCCCGAAGTTAAGCAGGACTTCAGATAACGCCGGGCCACCCCACCTAATTTGTGGCTGTGTACTCTGACTATGGCCTAGAATTTGCACCCACCTTCCGCCGGGTGCAAATTCTAGAGCGGCCGGAGGGCGGGCAGTGAGTGCGACCCTGGGCAAGTGTCCCGGGAAGTGACCTCCAACACGACACATCCCTGCCCCACCTCCCGTGGGCTTTCGGTCCGACCGCGTTACAACTGAGCACTGTTTACAAAGCCGGGTTAAATGGACAACAAACCGTCCAAGGCAAGGACGCCCTCCCCCATGCCAGCCCAGACACGTAGGGTCAGGGAAGGATCCGGTGATCAGCGCAGGGCGGGCCAGAGGTCGTAGGTCCCCAGCAACGCCCCACGGTGATGCTCGGCGGGACCCCGGCAGCGGGCACGTGCGGGAACCGGTGAGGGGCTCAGCCAGCGGCGCGCCGGGGCCGAGCGCAGCGCGGAAAAGAGAAGCGGGAAGGGCAGTTCTGGGGACCCGCCATCTGCCAGGGAGACGCGGTGGCCACTTACGAGTCTCCCAGGAAATCGTGGAAGCGGATGCGGCCGATGGTGGTATTGGCCTCAAAGTTGGGGGCTTCGTCCCCGAGAAGCAGCCCTCCGGGCATGGCGGCAGCGGTGACGCGGGGAAGCGGGAGGCGCAGCCGCAGCAGCGAGCAGCCGGCGGGCTCCCGGGAAGCTAGATCAGCGCTGGCCGAGTGGGCGGGCCCGGGGGCGGGGCGGGGCGGGGCGATCGCGAGTCTAGCGGCTGCGATCCTTCACGTGGAGCCTCTGCAAGGCGAGTAGGATTCAGGGGCGAAAGCAGGCCACGTGCAATTAGGAAGGAAGCATAAAGCTGAGAATTGCCGGAGAACTATAGGGTCTGGCGGCTCTGCAAAGATGCTCTAGGCGAACAGCGTAGACCCTCCCATACCCCACTCCCATCAGACTTCCAAATGAGGGGTCTGGTGGTACACGCCTCTTCCACTGTGAGCATGAGTAGCGCTGACTACTCAGCCAACCTAGGCTTCAGAGGTTTCTCAGGATGTTGCAAGACCCCGATGTGTGCGGGGATGAAAGTCAGAGGAAGTGGCTTTCTTATTGCAACAAAAATTCTGTACCAACGTCAGTAAGAGGACACTGGAAACAACCTTTTTATTTTGCCTCCCCACCCCTCGTGAACTATACAAATATTGAACACATTGATCCTAAAGTTTAAATACAAGTTTCACAATGTGCTTCCTGAGATTGAATGTATGCAAGTCAATTTTCACCTGGGGAAGTGTGGGTTTTGATCCAGTTACTTCCTGTTTCTCAAGCCCAAAGTAGAAAAGATGTCTGTTTTATTAGAGACAGATGGCAGATATTCTGCATAGAAACCAGAATCTGTTAGAATCTCGTCCTGGTTATGTAAGCCTGAAACCCGAGTTTTCTGGAGAAAGGAGGATAGTTAAGTTCCGAGGTACAGAGGAAGTTCAAGGCCAACCTGGGAAACTTAAGAGTCTGTCTCAAAAAAAAAAAAAAAAAAAAAAGTGAAGAAGGGGTTGGGGAAGCAACTCTGTGGTAGAATGCTTTCCTAGAGGGCTGGAGAGATGGCTCAGCCGTTAAAGGCTAGGCTCACAACCAAAAATATAAGAATGCTTTCCTAGAATATGGGAGGGCCCAGGTCAGTGGTTCTCAATCTGTGGGTCGTGACCCCCCCTTGGATCATGTATCAGATAATTTACATTATGATTCATAACAGTAGCAAAATTGCAGTTGTGAAATAGCGATGGAATACTTTTCTGGCTCGGGACCACCACAACATAAGGAACTGTTGAGGGGTTGAAGGAACCTAGGAAGGTTGAGAACCTTGCCCGAGATTCAGTTTGCACTAGGTGGGTTGGGGAGGAATATATTAGAAACTCCCAAGCCCTAGTTGGAGAAACAAAAGTAAGGTTGCATAAGTTAAGTAAGGATGACTGGAGGTTGTCTTCAGACAGTGTGCTCCCATCTGGGAAAGCCTGTAGGATGATATAGAATGGGTAAACTGCTCAGCACATGGCAAGGGCTCTGGAAGTGGTAGCTATAATTTAGATGATGATAATGATTCATGCAATAACTCTTTCCTTATTGGTAGCTAGATACTGCGCTAGGCTTGATGTGAGAGATTGTCTCAGCTTTTACAGGAAAAGTGAATTACATGCAATTATGATATAAAGTAAAGTAACATTGATAGGGAAGCTGCAAACGGTTGGGATTCAGCTTGAGGAATCCTCCGGAACAGACTTACCAGATTTGAAGGCACTCTGTAGCCGTGCTGGGTGTAGTGACTCACTGTGACCTGAGCTCTCATCATAGTGGTGCGCTGTCTTTGTGTCTACACGCGTGCTGATCATACTTACCTACTTCGTTGTACCCAGACTCACATCGAGGTTACCAGCAAAAACTTTAAAGCTAAGATGATTTAATCTCTACCTTGACTCTACCCTTCTGTTTTGAAAGCAACATATCTTAACATTTTTTATTTTCATAGTAAGGGAAGCAAAGTAGCTTGACTTTAGGGCACTATAAGCAATGTGTTGTGAAGGTGACCTGAGAACCAGTACATCATAATACAGAGAATGGATTCAGTTTAAGGCACTATGAGCAACATGTCACAAAGATGGGCTAAAAATCAGATACACCAATACAGTGAACGGGTGCAGAAACAAATGACTGATCGTTATCAAAGGCACATTTACACAGCCAGCAGTTGTAAATTAAGCAAATACAATAAGATAAACACCTACTCCAATTTACAGTACCAGAAGTAGCATGCTGGTGATGATCCAGCAAACTGCTTTAGTCTTAGCAAAAATTGAACTTCTTTAAAGGTAGAGATTAACATTTTTTTTTTTTTTTGATTTTTCGAGACAGGGTTTCTCTGTGTAGCTTTGCGCCTTTCCTGGATCTCGCGCTGTAGTCCAGGCTGGCCTCGAACTCACAGAGATCCGCCTGCCTCTGCCTCCCGAGTGCTGGGATTAAAGGCGTGCGCCACCACCGCCCGGCGAGATTAACATTTTTAACAACACACTTTTCCCACCCACAAAACACTGGAATTTCTGTCTTCTAAAAAGTCAGATCTAGCAATAATAGGCTATGGTCTACTTGGAGACTGGCAGGAGAGTAGCTTTCTTTTATTTTCATGCTTGATTTTCTTCTTTATTATTTTTCTCCTTTCTGTTTGTCATATTGTGAACATGAAAGATGAAGGCTATTTTATCCAAGGCAAAAACTTGATATTGTATATGTTAAACATATACAATGTTCCTATGTATTTAGTATGTGAATAAAGTTGGAAGAACACAGTGTTATTTGCCCCTTGTAGGTAAGTGAGTTTGACCTTGACTTACAGCTGCGAAACAAGGGAGTCCCAGGAGGACATTTAAGACCATTTTCTCAAGGGCTAATGAGAAGTTCAGTGGGAAGGGAAGTGCTGTGGGAGAGGTGTTCCAGGGAGAGGCCAGAATGTGGAAAAGGAAGAACCAGGTTGGGGGAAGCATTTGAAGGACGGAAGGCTCCAGTATAGGGGGAGGGATGCTTTTAAGCAACCTAATGGTTGGAGGGAACGTTGAAGTCCTTAGAATTATCTCAAGAAGGGTAACAAGGAAGTGCAGGGCTTTCCAGTGGGTTACTGTCTGATCCACATGGTCTATCCTATTTCACCGCTTCTAAAAGATTCAAGAAAGGGTAAAGGGGTTGATAACGGTTGTATTCTCTCCCTCGCTCCCTCCTTCCCTTCTTCCCTCCCTCTATCTCTCTCCCCCATCCCTCTCTCCGGTCTAAACACATGAAAGCAGAAGGGGCCTATTTGGAAGAGGAAAGGGGCCATCTGGATCGGAGATGGGGAATGGGAAAGGTGGGTAGGGGAGAAGAGGAACAAAAGCAAAGTATATAAGGAAACCCAACACTTGGAATGCCAAGGAAAAAAAAGAAACTCAAAAAAATGTTGGTTTAATGTGTATGTTTGTTTACCAAAAGATTATACTAGAATATTCCTAAGAGCAATGTCATAGGAACAAAATAACCATTCACATCACCCATTCATGTTACAAAGGAAATAAGTTGTGGTTAGCCATGCTTACTGAACAGCAAATAGAATAGAGCCTCCGCAACTCCACACAGCGATGTGGTTGAATCTCACAGACTTGAAAAAGAGGACACACATTTGTCCTCTGTCACCTGAGGTATAAAGGGAGCCAGAAAGAGAGTGGTCAGAAGTCAGTGTGTGGATGTGTGGGCTGGCGCTGGGTACTAAGAGAAGGGCAGAAGGGAGCGAACGCAGGAAAGGAGTGTTTTGCATTCTGAGGGTTCAACAGCCACTGTAAACAACTCATTTTTTTATATTTTAAAAAGTTCTTCCTGCCAGGTGGGGGTGGTGCATGCCTTTAATCCCAGCACTGGGGAGGCAGAGCCAGGAAGATCTCTGTGAGTTCGAGGCCAGCCTGGTCTACAGAGCGAGATCCAGGACAGGTACCAAAACTACACAGAGAAACCCTATCTCAAAAAAAAAAAAAGAAAGAAAGTTCTTCCTGATTTTAGCATTTCTTCTTGCTCCCACTTTTCTGTTCCTCTCTCTTTCTCTTTCCTATCTTGAAATATATCTTGCTAAATCCAATGGGTGCTTTTTCTTCACTTTCTATATATTGGATGGAGTTAATAACTACTTTATTATTGGTATTATATTTGGAACTGCTTCTTGCTGGCTTCCACAACACCAAACCCTCCTGCTTTCCTATCTTCCTTAAGGGCAGTTCTTTCTCCTTTCTCTTCCTCCCAAGTATTGATTCTTCCCAGAGCACATTCTTTTTTTAAAAAAAAGTTTGTATAGTTTTCTGTAGGTGATCTATCTAGTCCTGTGGCTTGAAAACATCTATAGCTGAAAATGCCCATTTTTATCTTGAGAAAAGCTCAGAACTCGTATATACATCTGCTCATTTGACATATGCCCAATATGTAACTCTTAATCTCTGCTGGCCCCTGCCACAAACTTATTTGACGCATTCTGTGTCAGCGGTGACTCCTTTTTATGAGTGACTTTTGCTGCAAAGCGTATCTCAGAACACTTGACCTTTGTCTTGTCCTTAGCCTCTTTACTGATGCATACTCTTTAGTCACCCCCTCTTAGCTACACACGTGCCTTTCATTGTCCTAGCTGTGGGGTTGGAACCATGCAAATCACATCCCCTCTCTGATAGACAGCCGTTTGTTAGGGTCTGTCCATTGGAGCACAGGGTGTGCTCAAAGGGATTATCAAGACTGGAGAGAGAAGGGCCTTATCTTTTTCCTGTTATGTTTTCCCCCTTCACATGACAGAGAGCAAGCAGATCAGCCCACAGCTGGCCTTGGAGAGACAGATCCCGAGGACTCAGCTTTCCCCAGGGGTTATTTGGCTGGGAATTAAACACTGTTAAATATTGTTCAGAGCGTTAATGTCATGGTAGGTCTTCATTGCTGGCAGTTTTTGAATATGCTGTCAAGAGTGAGTTCTTTGACTTTTTGGTTGACAGTTGTCAAATCTTTTCCTTGTGCCCAGTCGCCTTAAGTGGTAGCCTGTCAATCAAGAAGACCTTTTCATTTGACAACTATCCATATGGTCCTCATGGTTGCCTAGAACCCCTCCTGGATGCCCTGAGAAAAATCCACACCAGCAATGAAAACCAGTGCCATCAGAAGCCACCACATCTG